AAGGTACAAATTGAAGTTGGTTGAGTTTTACTTTAATAAGATATATGGTGATGGAGCTGAGGTGAAAATTAATCAAGTTCATCATAATTGTTATGACTTGTTGATTGACTATCAATCTAAAATCATGTCTTCTACGAATATGAGTTTGATGACTGATGTTGATACATTGGATTTGGGAAGTACATTTCCTCAAAATTAACTTATTTCTAATGACTCATTTGATCTTGATATGTTGAAAAAATATTACCAATTTATTGTATTAAGTTTGAATGATTCTTCTAAGATGTCTACGATGTCATAGTTGGATATATGTTTGGAAAAAAGTGTCTTACCACAGACACAAAATTTTGATAAATTGAATTGGTGACAAGCTCAAATTGATGTAATATGAAACCTATTAGTCCGAAAGCTCCATGCAGAGCAACAAAAGTCCACAGACCGCCTAATTGACACCAACGAGTAAAATCTTTTTGGGCTTCAGGACCCTATAGTAACAATAAAGAATGCGCTAAACTATTAGCATGAGTTAAAACTGCGGCTGTTAAGAAATTACACCATTAAAAATAGGAACTGGCTAATCCATAGGTATATCATGAAGTTACAAAGGTTGTACTTGTGAACCAACCCTCTAAAGCGAAATAGGCACCAGGAAAGAGCAACAGTCTGGACCAGCCTACAAAAACGAAACGGTCCCTCCGTAACCAGTCATCCATAATATAAAATAAATCATTTTCGTCTTTGGTAAATTTACCAAGGGCTAGAGTCATAGTGATCCTCCTATTCAAGTACTCTGACCATTTTCGAGCAGCTCATAGTATTTTCGGGGCGTCTGAAGATTCGATCATGTCTTTTGCACTGCCCTTTCCAACGGGTTTCGAATAGAAAAATTGTTTATTGGCACATAAATTGACCTAGGGAAATCCATGAACTTAATTTGATTCTTCTTTGTTACTAAGCAGATAAACCATGAATTGTCTTTTTATGGTAAGAGAACCTGACCCATGAAATTGAACTCTATCCGCTATTCTGATATTCAAATTCGATAGAGATGAAATTTGAATTACAACAGTCAACCGAGGACTTAGAAAGAATTTTTTGATATTTCCGATTCAATCTTCTTGTTCATAGATTTTTAGAGGAAAAAATTCTTATTCCCTCCCTCTACAGAGAAAATTTTCTTTCAAGTCAGAAGATACAAGATAAGAGTCATTTTCATTAATTTTTTTTTTTATTCCAGATCAAGATAAATTTTGATCTATCAAAGTCTCTATTTACATGTATAGCTATCAGATCCCATCTTCATATACCAAACATTTACTATAGTTTGGTTACCACAGTGTAATGGAGAATGGGTGCGAGAAAGATACTTTCATTTCCAGTCTTCCTATAATTTTGCACGTGAAGGGTGATTTCTTGGTTTCGTCCGGTCATTAATAACTTAATTTTTTTTAGATAATAGTAGATAGAAACAACGCTTAATGGGGTGAAGTATCCATATTTGCAAAAAATGGCAAAGGATATTTTGGTGATTTCAATTTTTACGGTTGCATCTGAATCCACATTTAGTAATAATGGAAGAATTATTAGCTTTCATCGTAGTAGGCTTAATCCTACTACCTTGGAAGCATTAGTATGTACTCAAAATTGGCTATGGAATGAAGCAAAAAGTAAGTTTATTTTAAAATATTTTTTTCACCACATTTAAATCATATGATATTGTTATTTTGTGACTTACATTATTTATTTGTTTATTTTTATGTGGCAATTTGATTTTCGGATGTTCAAAAACATGTTCAAGAGTATTTGATGAAGAATAGGAGAAAAAGATGATGATGATGAACAATAATTTCATGGATGTCCAAAGACAATGGTTTGTATCCATTCATACTTCACTTATCTTTTCAATACAAAATAATCTTATTTTTATATGATCTATTTAAAATCTCTAATTGATTGTTGAACTATGTAATTTTTCTTGTAGGTATGATTGTGGATTGCTAATTAGGCCCAGAGAAAATTGATTGGTTTTTTTTATTATGGTAATTTTGTATTACAATTAATGAATTAATGAGGTTAATGTGTACTTTTGATTTCTGATGATGAATGAACAAAACACAAATGCATTTTAGTGATTCCATAATGTGTAAGGATTGAGATATAATTTCAATATTATTATTATTATTATTCTCATTATTATTATTATTATTAGTGGTGGTGGTGGCGGCGGCGGCGGATGCGTGAAGATTTATATTTTTCGTATATATATTTTTAGTATATATGTATTTGTCGGGTTTGAGTCAAGCTTGTGTTGAAATTTTTTGAATTTGATGGGTCTGGCGGGTACATCACGGGTACGGTGCGAGTACAGTAGGGTCTAAGTAGGATCTTAGGTCCAGTAATATACATACGGGTACGGTCTCGGGTCCATCTATACTCGACCCATACCCTACCCATTGTCATCCATAATCCCACTAGGTAGTAACAAGCACGTCATGAAGATTTTGCCCTTTTCAGTGACGTCTTTTATGAATCCTCCTTTTTTGGGCATGGCTTGAGTGGAGCTTACCCATTTACTGTTATTTAGTATATAATACCTAAATCAAACAATGTAATTATTTTTTCTTACTACCTCTTACATGTTTTCATTGAGACGCTTTGAGGTTGTCTACATAGCTAAGTAGAATATTCCATAATGGTGTGGTGCATGCATATAGCAAGGTTGATTCCGTTAATATAAGATATGCTCCATGCAAAGGCTTTCTTCATTATTTTAAGAAGTGGGAGCATATGAGCTTCCTGATCGGGCAAAAAGGAACTTGATATGATCAAAGGTAATGTCTCCTCATGTCTAAATGTGATTTTGTCATCCAGGATGTTTATGTTAGCTTAGGAAGTAGCATAGTAAGGTCTTTCCAAAATGATTGAAATGTCACGATCTTCTTTCGTTTCCATTATAATAAAATATGCAAGAAAAATAAATTTATTTGCTTCGATCAGTATATCATGAATCTCCTTAGGGAGTCTTATTCATTTATCAGTCAATTGATTTATAATACGACATGGCTTTAGCTTATAACCCATTAGTTGTCTAAAAAACGATAAAGACATGATATTAATACTAGCTCATAAGTCACGCAATGCCTTAATCGATTTCAAATATTTCATAGTACGCAAAACAATTTAACTTTTGGAGTCGTTTAATTTCAAGGTCTTCATGAAATATCGCATTGTACACACCCTTCAGCTGAACATAAGCCAAATTTCAGCTGCAACACATGTTTTTCATTCAGCCTTAGCATTCCTTGCACATTATCCACAATTTTTTATTTTTTATTTTCATTCAATAACATAATTCCAACGTAGTTTTATGTGTTTAATTATTTATTATTCTCTTCTAATTGTGGCTTTGTTGATTTCCTATTGATTCATTTCATTTTCAACTTGAATTACATTAATAGTTCATTAATTTGGTGTACTTCTATTTCTATTAGGAGTTTTTTTATATCCAAAAAAATCTTTAAGATGAACTTTGTTCGCTAATAAAGGTGTAATTTAAACATCATCAAGAGATTATTCTACCTCATATGTATGGTGTTAGATTTTTATTAAAGAATTGAAGTATTACAATATAGAACAAATCTTAGAAGAGCTGATTAGAATATATAGAATAGTGAGGATTAAAGAGCTAATTCAATACTACATAGCTATAATTTAATAGAGTGGTGTACTATGTTAGGGCAAAAACATACAATTTTAAAATTACAACATGAACTTGAAAATTAAATTCTTTTATTTTATCGAAGAGAAAGGGAAAGGAAAAGAAAAAAAAAATAGTGAGTTGATATCATATCATATTGCTACTGTTAATAGCGTTGACTTAGTCAAATTAGCAGTGTTAGATTTGATTAGTATAGATAATATGTATTAACAAGTATATGATATTATAATATACAATACATAATTGTAGGCATAGCATAGTATACTATTTTTTTCTTCACCATTAATATATTTATCCAACACAATACAAAATATATATAATGCACAACATATATTTTTCTATAGGACTCTCCCTGTTATAATTTTTCTTTTTTTAAAAAAATGAACTTGCTTTCTTTATTTGTTTATTTTTTTTAATATTTTTAACAACTTTTTTTTTTTATTATAAAAGAAAAAAAAAATATTAAAACCGACTTTTACATGACGAAAAAAGTACTCCCTTCATTCCAAACACTCTGCAACATTTTATTTTTGGTACGTCTCAAATACTCTAATTTTCAAAATAAAAAATAATTAATTATAATTAATCTCTACTCTACACTTTATTCCATCACATCACCCCAATAAAAATAATAAAATTTATATTTCCTTTTCTATCACATCAATTAATTTCTAAATTATTTACTTAATACTATTTACCTAAAAATTCGTACCAAGCAAACGTTGCATCTGATACACGAAGAAAATATAATATATTATTATACTATACAAAAAATGTGGTATCCGTACAATCAAAACTGTACCAAGCAAATGTTGCACCTGATACGAAGAAAATATAATATATTATTATACTACACAAAAAATGCGCTATCCGCACTGGGTCAAAACTGCTGATTTGATCCAATGAGTATAATAACCATTTTATATCACATGGGAGAAGGGAGAAGAAAGGGAGGGTCACAAGTTTGTTACCTGTCATGTCCTCTCTGTGTCATAGACCTTCTTCTTCATCTTTTCCACATGCATACATAACATAAATGCTATTAGTTAGCACTTGTCGTTCGTAAGCCCCGACACTTCAGGTCACTTGCTACACATAGTTCGCCTAGTGTGACTTGTCTGTCGAACCTAGTTTGCAGAGTATTAAATTCGACCAAAATTTTACCCAATGCGTATTTTCGGATAGCAATTACGAATTTCCACATAATAATAATTAAAAAAAAAAAATTGTAGATTCATGATGCAACCGGACAACCCCTCGCCTTCTATACAATTCGATCCAATTCAATTTAATTCAATTCCATAACACAAAAGACCAAAAATTCTATTTAGGTACATATATATATTGGGTTCCCTAGTATACCAACCAATCAACCAGGTCGTACAAACACAAAGAGCAGATTGACATACAATCACAAGGATGAAAAAAACGCATGGCCAAACAAGAAAGTGAGAAAATTTGTATCTTTTTTTAATGGATTAGTTGTTACTGTCACAGTTTTAGTGCATCTCTAAAGTTTATACTGAAGCTGTTCTCCAAACCCCTCTTACCCCCGCCTGCCATCGGGTTCCCCTTCTGCATCATAGCAACAAACTCGTTGTAATCTATACGTCCATCCTGCAATGGATTCGGATATAATTATGTGTCAGTCATGACTTTTAAGCAACAGAGCATGCTTGCACTCACATGACAAGAATATTGTAGCGGAATTGATTTAAAGAGACAAACCACAAGGACTTACATTATCTTGATCAACTTCATGAATCATTTCTTCCAGTCGAGAATCATCAAAGCCAAACTCTTGACAAGCCTGTTGGAGCTCATCCGGGGTGATGTACCCGCTCCCATCTTTATCAAAGTATGTGAAAGCAGCGAACAGGTGATCCTCTCTCTCAATTTTGTTAAGATGCAGTGTTGCAGCTATGAACTCTCCATAGTCAATTGTCCCACTATTGTCGACATCGGCCTGAGGTTCAGAACATTCAACCCAACCATTACTTTATGGATGCGGGAAATGTCTAGAGAGATGGAAGGAATTTCGACACAACGTAAATCAGTAGTCAAATAATAAAGAATTGTGAAAGAGCCTTTGAGATGTGTCACTGCCAGCTGTAGGGTATGAGCGAAAAGTAGATAATTACTGCTTGCATTAGGTCATAAATTTCAGATTCCTTTAGGTTTGCACCGACTCTCTTCAGACCAGCTTTGAGCTCCTCAAAAGTGATTTGACCGCTGTTATCCGCATCAATCATATTGAACATTTCTTTTAGCCCTGCAATTTCGTCTTCAGATAGGGATTCTGCAATTACCTGCAGAAAAGAAGTTTAACATGAGTAATTGATTATATGTAAAAATATTAATTTTGCCATCTTCAATTTCTATTTTACTGCAGAAAAGATCCTGTAGATGTATATATACATGGATAGGAGGACTTACTCTAAGAGCCATTTTCTTGAGTCTATTCATTGCAGAAAACTGTTTCAAGCGACTTAAAACTGCAGAGTCGAGAGGTCTATCCGGTGCCACACCATCAACTTGAACCCAAGGGTGGCCTACGGGCAATTCAAGGTTCACATGAGAACAGGAGAGCTTTCAAGTTTCAATCACACACTCGTCAAACAAAATGTAAATGTAATAAATCTTCCACTAAATACATGTATGTCACAGCAAGCATGAGTATGGCTGCACAAATTCTATTGATTCATGACCTCCTCAACATTAAAGATCACTAAACACCTGAATATAATCTGGGCTGACGAATCCAATTACAACTGACAAACTGAAATCATACCATGAGTAGTTTCTAATGAATATTATTATGATACTCAAAGGTATGCTTTAACAATTATGTTATGCCATAAACAAACACTTGTCCATATACAGCCTGGTAAAAAAAATGAAAAGGTGAAATTGGAAAAGACGTTCTCACAAAAACAGGCACACATAAAGACAATGAGAAGTGCTTACACAGAACTTCATGGGCAGTTAAACGCTGTTTGGGGTCTCTGATCAGCATTTTTCTTACCAAGTCTTTTGCACTTTCAGATATACTAGGCCATGGATCTGATGAAAAGTCGAGATCACCATGCAAGACTTGCTCAAATATCCCTTGCTCAGTTTCTGCCATTGTTATTAAGAAAGAATAAGATATCACGCTTAAAAAACATAAAGCTTTCCCTCAGTGATGACAAGCTACAATTTATTCGATTTAGAAAGCATCCGACTGTCCATGTTCTCACCAGCCCAGAATGGAGGAACTCCACTGAGCAAAATGTAGACAATCACTCCAGCACTCCAGACATCAGCTTCAGGACCGTAACGCTTTCGAAGAACTTCAGGTGCAACATAATATGGACTGCCTACAACATCGTGGAATTTTTCCCCTGAAAATAGAAAATTGATGTTTCCTTAGTCATGTATTGACACAACCATTTTAACTCTGTTCTATTATCTAGAATGAAGATGAACTTAAAATATATCAACTGCATAGATCCTAATTTTTTTACCCTCCTCTCCCCTCTTCTTCCCTCGACCCAAACACAACCTAAGCTCATAATAAGTTTGATTTGTCTAAATGGATATATGGAACTGGTCAAACCCTAATTTCCATGGATAATTGATATGCGACCTGACTATTTCAACATTTTTCTTGGCAGGGGAGGCTGTCAAAGAAGCCAAAGAAAGGAATTAAAGATCATGATGCGTCCAAGGATCATAAGAGTGGAAAAGGGCATCATCATCTGAAAAGTCCCATTAGATCCTTTAATGTAGGAATTGAGATCTGCTATGAATCTATATCAGGACCTTTTGCTTTGTTGAATTCTAGATCTTATATTCATTTTAAAGTTAGTAACATTGAAGGGTTTGTTCACTACGGTTGATTATATAGTATTTGTTACATGACAACGAACACCAACCATAGTAAAATAGGCGGAAAAGTATTGAAATCTACATACAAGGATTTTTAAGCAGCTCATATTAAATCTTGGCATTTCTAAGTTACATTTTAAATATTCTCATATATCCAATCGTGATATACTTTATAACACAGCATCGGATTTATATATATATATATGCATATTTCCTCTGGTAGTGTTATCCAATGTATAACAATCCTAACACTCAACCAAAGATGTGGCAAAACAAATCTTACTCACAATCCTATCGATGTCAATCTATCACTTAACATCAGTGGTGTGCTTACTATCTTTAGTTTGTCTTATTTAATTGGACTAATTCTAAATATGAGTTTTCCGAAACTATGAGCGACTAAAAGTAAATTTGAAGCATTGGACTACAATGCAACCCAAAAAAACGAAAAAAAAAAAAAAAAAAAAGAACCAATGTAGTCAGAATGACATATAATACATAATCTGAAATAACAAGCTTGAATCATGGCCGAATGCTATACCTGGCTTGAAGAACATCGACAAACCGAAATCAATTGTCTTGAGAAGCGACTCTTCCTTCTGATCCACAAAGAGGAAATTCTCAGGCTTAAGGTCGCGGTGCATAACTCCCAATGAGTGACAAGCTTCCACAACGCCAACAATAGTCCTCGTCAGCTCAGCAGCCTTCCTCTCTGTGTAATGCCCACGCTGTATTATCCTGTCGAAAAGCTCACCCCCGGCACAGAGCTCCATCACCAGGTGGACTGCAATGGCATCCTCGTATGCCCCCTTGATGGATATCACATTGGGGTGCCCTGCCAGGTGGTGCATTATTTGAATCTCCCGCCGCACATCCTCCACGTCTTCATCGGAGAGCAGCTTCCGCTTGGCAATGGACTTGCATGCGTACTGCTTCCCCGTCTCCTTTTCGATGCAGAGGAACGTTGTCCCGAACTGCCCCTGCCCTAACTTCTTCCCAATGCTGAAAAACTCCTTCAGATTCCCAGTCCGCCGCTGCAGCACGGAGTCTGTCCGTAGGCCAGCGCTGGTGTTCCTCTTGAAATGCTTCTTCTCCTTCTCCTGTGCGGGCTTTTCCTTCTCCTGCGCGGGTTTTTCCTTCTCCGGCTCCGGCGTCTTCGGCGCTTCTGGCTTTGAGATTTTTACCGGCTCCGGCGGCGTGCTCTGAACAACTCCGGAAGATTCAGATTCAGATTCGGGTGGAGCTTCACTTTTGACGGAGTCTCCATTGGCGGATGAAGCATTATTTTCGGGGACAGAGGATCGCCACATCGCGGCGGAAACCGATTGGAAAATCCCATTCTTCGTTAAGCTGGGACCAACACAGGTGTTCCCCATCCCTCCAGGGCCAATCAATTCCTTGGAAACTTCAATAAAGTAAATCGAAGTACGCAATCGAGATCCACGCACCAATCGATCGATCGATCAGCAAAAAACCCAAGTCAACATAGCTTCCTTCCTGCTAAACCCTAAATCGCCGGCAACACAAGAACAAACAATTCGGTGCTGAATAAGCTGTTGCGAGTGCATCAGATCAGCAGGTCATCTCACAGCACTCGACTAGGCAGACAAAACGGCACTGCAAAGCCCAGCCCGAATCCGATTAAAAAGACGGCGTCAAACCCACAACAAAAAAGGGTCAAAGAAAAAGTAAAACAAAATGGTGAAGGATTCAAGGGGCCATGAGGAACAGATATAAGTGAGTAAGAAGAGGTTGAGACGGAGAAAGTGCAGAGAAGAGAAGAGACGAGAAGAGGTTATTTGTGGATTAAGTGAAGATCCGAAGGAGTAGGGAGGGGAGGGCTGCCCTGCCTGCCAGTGCCCGCGTCAATCATCATTCATTCGGCAATAAAATATTACTAGTAGAGAAATTAAGCAAGGATATGCATATGCATATGCATAACCTATGACCTATCTATGTATCTGTACCGCATCTGTTTGCGCTGCCGTACCTTGCCGTCCGATTGACTGATTCAGAAGGAAGTTAACGAAGACGACAGGACAAGGAGGATTCAAGCCCAACTCCAACTATAGAGCCTAGAGGGAGGAAGCGAGTGTCGTAGTCGTAGTCGTAGAATTTGATTTGGATGTTTGTCTTGAGCTGAGCTGAGCCGAGCCGAGCTAGCTGGCTTGCAAACGCATATTCTCCTTCGTTTCTTCCTTATTCATTCCGTGAATACTGCCTCTGCCTGCGGACAACCTGTAACCAAAGGAAAACGCGCTCATTTCCTCTCTCCAGTCTCAACTCCTCTATCTCCCTCAGTTGGATTACTTTATTATTATTATTATTATTATTATTTAAGGGTCTGTCCCGGATTGCATTTGATTTAGATTATTTATTCAATTTTTTTTTCCAAAAATATCAATCAAATACTTATTTTTCATTTTCTATATTATTTTATTTGAATTTTGAGATTAGTTTAAATTTTAATGTATTTTTTTGGGTTTGAATTTGGTTGGAATTTGAAGAGTTTTGATGTGTATTGATTTGATGGACATGAATATAATAATATAAATGTATAGTCATTCGTATAATTTAATTATAAATTTATATTATATTTATATATATTTTTAAAATTTTTTATTTATTTGTATTAAAAAAAAATTATTCTCTACCAAATGACATATATATAGTATATATTTTATTAAATTATAATTATTATAATTTTTTATATTTATAATTAAAAAAAGAGAAAAAAATCAATTTTGGTCCCAATATAACCAAAATTTATCAATTTTGATTCCAATATAAAAAAACTAATCAATTTTGGTATCAATATAACCAAAATTTATCAATTTTGGTCCGAATATAAAAAAAAAAAAAAAAAAAAAACTCATCAATTTTAGTCCCAATTTCAATCAATTTTTGTCTCACTATAAACAATTTTAATCAATTTTGGTCTCACAGTTAAAAAACTAACAGAAATTAATTGCTGACGTGGACATGATGGAGGTGTATAATTATACATGGTCATGTTATTACACAGTCATGTACAATTATATCATGTTGTTACAGGGTCATATATATATTTCAGTGTATAATTATACATGGTCATGTTGTCACGGCCATGTACAATTATACACAGTCGTACATAATCATGTTGTTACACGGCCATGTATAATTCTACACGGCCGTGTACCTTTCTTTTTTCGGTCTAAAATTTTAATTTTTGTTATATTTTAATTTTTTTTAAATTTAGAATAGTTGATATAATTAAAATGGAAAAAAACCCAATAATAATCATAATATAATTAAACTATATCAATTTTAGTTCAAATATAAGTATTTATCAGAGTATATTTTTTTAAGAAGATTTTGTCTAAAATTCTACTATTTAGCAAAAAAAAATTTCTTTTACAATCATCCAATTAATTAATGTATTGAAATAATAAATTAATTTTTAATACTACTATAATATATAAAATTAAAAAATAGTTATGTAATTTGATGTTTGTAAGAGAAATTTTTTTTATGAATAATAAAATTTTAAACCAAACATTTCAAAAGAATATATCTTATAAATTTTTATATTTGAATTAACATTGATAAATTTTAATTATATTATAATTACTATTGATTTTGTCCATTTTAACTATATCAACTATTTTAAATTCAAAATAATTTTTTTAAAAATATATATACAACAAGAAAATAAAATTTTAAACTAAAACAAAAATGTACATTGTCGTGTATAATTGTATATGACCGTGTAACAACATGGTCATGTATAATTATACACTGAAATATACATGGCCATGTAGCAACATGATCATGTATAATTGTACATGGCCGTGTACTTTCCAGGTCAACTGTTATGTCACCTCCGTCATGTTCACGTCAGCAATTTCCGTTAGTTTTTTAACGGTAGGACCAAAATTGATTGAAATTGTTTATAATTTGACCAAAATTGATTTAAATTGTTTATATTTAGACTAAAATTGATGAGTTTTTAATATTGAGACCAAAATTGATAAATTTTGATTATATTAGAACCAAAATTGATGAATTTTTTATATTAAGACTAAAATTGATTTTTTTCTTTCTATATATATAAAAAAAATAAAATAAAATAAAAAATAAAAAAATAAAAGAAGAAGAAGAAGAAGAAGATAGACTCATGAACGGACAGAGTCTCCCCAAATCCCCTCCACCTCCGGACCAGTTTTGGGCTGAATTATTATGCAAACTGATCCAGCCCAAAACTGGAGAAATAGACCTTATGTTCTTTCAATTATTTAATTATTTCTTTTTACTTATTTTGTCAATTTTTTTTTTTTATGAAAAAAAATTATATTTTAAATTTTAAATTTTTTAATATAATTTTTATTTTAATTAATTATTTTTATTTTAATTTAAAATTATTTTTATTATATCATAATTATTTTTATTAATATATTATTAATTATTTATTAATTATATCATTCATAAATTCTCATGTTTATTGTAAAGAGAACACCTGAACGAAAGAAATACTATTTTTAAAGTGTGATTCCTCAAAAATAATAATAAAAAATATACAAACTTTTCTACAAAAAGTTAAAGAGTAAAAAAAAAACTTTAAAGTTAAATACGTGAAAATATCAAATATTTAATTTAAAATAATATATTTTATACTTTTGACAATTATCTCTATACCAAAAATAAAAAATCCATTCATCTAAAAAATATTGGTAAACACAACATATGTTTCCGTCATCTTTTTTATTATTATATTTATTTAAAAATATATAGTTATTATACATTTATTATCTTTTATAAGAATTTATTGTCTAAAAAAAATAACTAAAAATTCAATTAATTAATTATTATTGAAATTAAATTAAAAAATTTTCAATGATTTTATTTATACAAATACAATTTCAAATTTATTTTAAAATATTATATTTATATATCTACATACTTTTCAATAATTTAATTTTATCTATCAAATTTCAATATTTAAATTTCTTTAAATTTTTATATACAACTTCAATGAAATAACTAATAAACATATAAATTTTTTTAACTAGTTTTTGAATTAAACTGTTGGATAAAAATAATAATTTATATGATACATCAACTTGAAAAAATTTTAATCATTTAATTTTTCAAATATCAAAATTTCACATCTTAGAATAATTTTAATAATTCAAGATTATTATAAAAATTATATAATATTATCACAATTTATATTCAAAATCAATCCCGTCACATATGATCTATTTATCTTATTTTTTATCCGTCCCACAGAAGATGACTCATTTATATTTTTAGTATATTTATCAATTTTAAATATATTTAACAAATATAAATCAATTTAATTAAATTTTTAACTTTAGATCCACTCAAAATATATTTTTTTATATCTCTCTTAAATTAACAAATATTTTATTTACCTTTAAAACTCTCAATTTTTTTAATTATAAAACTAATTTTTAAATAACTAATCTATACTATCTAAATTCTTATGCTCAAACAAAAGACGTCATTTTTGTCGGAACATAGTGAATATATATAATAAATTATACTGAATTTTATAAAATAATAAAAATAATGTGTTCGAAATAATTTAAATGTTAATATAGAAAAGAGATACATAAAATAATAAGGTTTAAGTAAACATTACAACAATATATGCTCTTATTTTTATTAATTCTTGATTGTAAAATATATAGTTGTAAATTTAATTGTATAGATATAGAATATTATTCAATCGTAAGTTGATTTATAGGTTTGTGTGATTGTAATTTTAAATTGATTTAAAATAAGTAATTATTTTAAATTTTGTTTAAACAATATATTTTAATATAATATTATATATATATTAAAAATTATTAATTTCTAACAATTTCAAATCAAAGTTATTTATGTTGTGAGGCGCGATAGTTGGTGAAGCAATAACTTACTAAGACAATGATTAGTAGCTGGTCCGAGAAGATTATCAACCACTGGGAATAAGACACTATCCAGACTCCTATGGGAGATGGCAGTAGGGAATTTTTCGCAATGGGCAAAAGCGTGACGGAGCAATTCCACGTGGTGGTAGAAAATCTATGCACTATTATTTATTTTTTAACGAGAAATGTGACTTTCTCAACGCCAAACTATGGCGTGAGTTTGTCATTGGTGATTTAAACAATTATACTCTGTTGTCCCATTGAAAGGGTGACATTTGTTTTTTGCACGTCGATTTGTGAATATTAGTATTATATTGAATTATAGTAAAAAAGACAAAAATACCTCTATTAGTATGGTGTAATATAAAAGTAATGACATTTGTGTAATATATTGTAAGTTGAAAGGATATTTATTATGTCAAGTAGATAGTACATTTACTAAATTAGAAAATGGTAACCTTATTTTGGGACGGACGAAAATGGAAAATGACAACCTTTCAATGAGAAGAAGGAAGTACATACATTTCAATAAAGTTCACTTTCAATTGTAATATTGAAAATACTGTAAGACGATTGTAACAAGAGACTAAGATGTGCAGATAAACACAATCAACGATTGATTTGCTGATTTAAAACAATCTACGAGACAATGAAATATTGAATTTGATGAATGCATGTTCTTAATGATAATTTAAATTTGAAATTACAACCAAATAAATTCATAATATACATTTAATTAAAAGTAAATGTAAAATATTGTTTTAAATATTTTAAAAATTAAACTTAAGTTCAATACAAGTAGAAAACTAGATATATATATATATAATATAAATAAAATAAATAAGAATATGTTATTATCATAACTTAATTTATATAATAATAAATTAACATATAAATATGTAAAAGGTGAATTTTGATTGAGTTTGATATTTTTGTATATAAAATTTTTAATACTTGGTCTGTTTATTATCTATTCCCTCCGTCTTAAATAAAATGGATGTATTATTGTAGATACGAGAATTTACATAAAATATAATTAGTAAATAATTAAGAAATATATTAGTAAAAATAATTATTATCTCGTAAAAATAATTATAAATTAAGATTAAAATAACTAAATAGTTTAATTAATATTAAAAAAATTATAAATTTAAAAATTTAAAATATGATTAAAATGTATAATCAATTTTCGAAAAAAAGAAAAGAACAAATTATATGAGACTCACAAAAATAGAAAATAGAAACAAATTATGTGGGCCGAATGGAGTATTTATTTATGTTCTATTTCGGTTTATCCACAATCAATCTATCGATCTTTGTAATTGTACTTCTAATTTAGACAAGAAAATATTCTCGTACTTTACAAGTACCATTTAAAAAAGATTTAAGTTTAAAAATAAAATGTATCCATCTCTCTATTATATTATTTATTTATAAAATATTAATATTCTAAAATATATATGCAAAATACAAATAGATATATAAATAGTAGATGGAGGGAGGTAGTATAATATTTTAGAAAAATTAGGGTTTATTTATTTATTTTTTATGACGTGAAAATATATATATTTTTTTACCGACTTTGGGTAAAAATTAGGGTTTATTTAGTTGTAAGTTTGAAGGTTGGATTTGAATTTATATTTTAAATAAGAGAAAATCAATTTTGTTCCTTTTATAGAATTTCTTCATCAAAATTGTTCTAAGTATATTTTATCCAATTGATATATTTTTCCGTTTTCGTCCTATCTTGCACCTTTTTATATTAGGTAAAATTTACTAAATAATAAAAGATCTATTCAAAATACCTTTATTATCTATTTCCTAAAAAAATAAATATTTTGTTTATATTTAAAACTTCACAATTTTTTGTAAAATTAATTTATATTAATTATAAATAAATAAAAATATTTTTTTTATTTAAAAATTTTTATTCTCTACATCATATCCATATTACATATATATTTTTATTATAATATATTTTTAAAATATTTAAATATATATACTAATTTTTTTTAATTATATATATTAAATTTATAATAAAAATATTAATATTATTAATTATATAAAAAATAAAAAATAATATCGTAATTAATACTCCCTTCTTCCCACCAAAATTGAACCCTTTGATTAAGGATGTGAGGATGTTTAATTAATTAATAATAATTAGTTATGATATTATTATATTATTTTTTGTATAATTAATAATATTTATAGTTTTAAAGTAAATTTAATATATATATTTAAAAATTTTAAATATATGTTTAAATATTTAAAAATTATATAATAATTAAAAAAATATATTCAATATGAATATTAGAGAATAAAATCTCTATAATGTAAATAAAAAAATATTTTTGTTTATTTATAATTAACATAAATCAAATTTATAAAATATGTGTAATTTTAAATATAAATAAAAATATTTTTTTTTAGGAGAGATATAGAAATAAATGAGTTTTGAGTAGGTCCTACGTTATTTTTACGTTGTTAATTAAGTTGATTTATATTTATAAAATATATTTTTATTTAATAATTTTTTTTTTCAAAAATATAAAACATGTGAGAGAAACAAAAATATTAATAGTGTAGATTGTGGTGGTGGACAGAGGGAGTAATACCTGATAAATATTTACACTAAGGAAATATAATATTACATTATTATTATTTATTTATTTAAAAAATACTTCACTCGAAAATGTTTCAGTGAACACAGCATCTCAACTGGTCGCCAGCCCTAGTTTAAGGTGCTGGCTTTTGCTGGGAGACGCTTCAATGGATGAAGCGCCATGGCCATGAGGTAAAAGAATATTCAAAACCCCACCCACTCGCATCTGCTATTTTCCCTGGAAGGGAGCCTCTCAGTATGCCGTTCATATCCAAAATACAGCGGCAGTCTGACTACAGCCGCTTCTCTTCAACCCATCCAATTGTTATCGACAATGGGGGATCGTATTTTCGCATTGGGTATCTCGACAATAAACCCTAATTCCTCAGCTTGTGTATTCGGGCACGGTTTGGTTTTTCTTTTTTGTTTTTGGAATTAAATATTATTACCTCAACGCAGATGGGCTGGAGAGAGCGATCCTCGAGTTATTTTCCGAAATATTATTCAAAGACCTCGCCATAAGATTAGTGGTAAGTTTATCTGCATAGCAGTTTTACATTGTTTTTGAATTTCTTTCAGTATATATATAACCTGTTTTGTGTAGAGCTCTTTAGCAGTTTGTGTAGTTCTTAGAATAAGTGAAGCAAATAGTTGTTAAATAATTGAAGGATATACATATGAAATCAGAGGCCGTTCAAAATAATCATGCTAGAACGGTAGTTTGCCTTTGTCTGTTGCTTGTTGTGGCCACCAGAGTTTTATATTGGTGAGGATTCTACCTATATATACAAATACAGAGATACAAACCTCTCGAATTACATTGCAAGGGCCAAGCTCTTAAAATTAATTGTACATCCATATGTGCTTTTGATTATTATCTAATGGAGGAGGGAAAAAATTAATGAGAAATTTATTATTGAAAATGATGAACGAGTTTTTGCTCTCTCTCTCTCTCTCTATATATATGTGTGTGTGTGTGGGGGTGGGGGGGGGGGTGGGGGTAAGTTTGTAGTTTTCTTTACAAACTTTGTTATTGGATTACTATCACTCTACCATCTCCATCTTAACCCTGATGGACAGAATGGCCACCTTTGCTTGTCGTGCACTGAAATCATTTTCTGTTATTTGTATGAGAGAATTATGTTTATTCCCCGATTTTGCACAACTAAAATTTGTCTTTACTTGATATATGATGATACAAATCTGATATAGCATGCCCACTTTTTTTTACGTAGTTAGAAATAGCTTCATCCTAAAGGCTAATGGTCTAGCTACGGAAACCTCTCAGCCTCTGAACATCTTTGGTAAAATGAGTTAAAAGATTTTGTGGCCCCCCTAATTAAAAATATATATACACTTGAAGATAATTTATGAAGATCAGATTCCATCTAGCATGAAAAATCAGAGCTGATTCTTCGAGCAACTTTACCATACATACCACAGGACATTTCCTGTTGTAATCATATACAAGTGATTCCACATACAATCTGCTTCTCTAAAGTTGAGTTTAAAGTAAATTAATCTATTCAAGGATCGATGGATGGATGCAAAACATAAAGGCTTCCTTTTTCTTTGTTAGTATTATTTTTTATTATTGTTATTTTATTTTTTTGGACAAAAAATTATATGAGCATCTGCAGATGCAAAAGTATAGTAGTAAAGCATATGCTTAATGTGCTTGATTAATCAAGTGCAGTAAAGTGCCCTAAATTGATAGTAAAGTTCATTACTTCATTTGTTTTTACATGTCTTGCATTACCCTATGGGCTGTGCTGGTGTACATTAGATGATCAGGTGGCTATCTGTTTTATTTCAGTTTAATACTTGTGTATATTGTTACGTATATTATATCATCTATTTCCAATATATAATTTATTTTCATTATTGAGATTCAATCAGCATGCTAGAAAACAAGCACATCACATGGTCATCTACGTTGATGCACCTATTGATGTGAAAACGTGGACTGTTGGCTAACATGTTCTCCTTTTTATATACTATTCAAGGATATAATTATATTGGAACTTTATTATCTGAACTTACTGCTACTGTGGAAACATTACAATTCCACAATATTGTTCTTCTGATTTACTAGTTAGGAAATTGGTATCAATACAATATAGTTGTTTTGGCTGTTTGAAAACATTTTAAAATGTATCTGATCATCTGTTTGAATAGACATATCTACTTGATGAGACAACACAATGGTATGCAAGCGGGCTTGCCCTGTTTGATGGATTAAGGGTGTGTTTGTTTGGGGGTTTGGATTTTGGATCGAGATTTGAATAGTAAAATATTTGAATTTGAATAGTTGTATGATGTGATATAAATATGTATTGATGTGATGTTTTGGATGTAAAATTAATTTTTAGTATAATATGAAAAATGAAAAATAGGTGTTTGATTTGATATTTTTTGGGGGAAAAATTAGTGTGAATAGTAGAAATCCACACAAATCCTTCAAACAAACATATCCTAAGTTTTTGTTCTTGCAAGTTTCTGTTCATTTTGTCTAACTACCTGGGTGAAAGACAATCCCAAGTGAATGTCATTCATCTGTAAATGCCTGCTTGGCTGCTTCCCTTACCTATGCTTAGTTGCAATTGTAAGGGCAGATGTCGTAATTATTGTTAGATATATTGTATATAGGTTCTTTTTTGTATTTAGAATAGTGTAGGGACCTTTTTGATATTTTTGATATTTGTTGTATATATATAGGTTATACTCATGTAATCAAAGGTTAAGGAAAAAAGAAAAAACTATATTTGCATGGTATCAAAGCCTCTTTGACCTAATCCTGTTGACCTGCCATTGATCGAATTCTATCAACCCGCTGCCGATCAAATCTCTCACCCCTGTTGCCAATTGAATCCCTCACCCCTGCCGCCGATTGAATTGCATACCCCCTTCCGACATTCAATATATCGCCAGGTTACTCCTTGTTCGTTTGTTGACGCGCTGGTTCATTATCTCTCCGAATGGTACGACCTTGGCGGCCTTCTCATTGTCACGGCAACTATTTTTAATTCCAACCTTAGAGATTATTATTGGCATCGGTTATTTTCTCTTCTGGGTTGCTGTGTTGTTGCTGGTTTGTTGAGGGTTTAAGGATTGCTTACGTGATTTGTTGTAATTTGAGGGTGATAGGGCTCTTTTCATTCCAAATATTATTTCAAATATTTTTAGTTCTTTTACCAGAATGTTGCCGAGGCGGACAAAGCTGCTTGGCTTAAAGGTAATGCCTTGCTGTGCAGTATTCTTTTGCATTCTATTGATCCAAGTCTAGATCCTATTTTAACCAATGATATTCAATGCTTATACAATGTAGCGTCTAATTTAGTTAATCTTTGTCGCCATGGATTGACTATTCTAGAGTATGTAGGCAAGCTTTTGTCCATAAAAACTGAACTTAATTTTGTTTTGCGCCTTGGAAAATAGCTATTGAGGAGCTTGCTTAGCGATAGACATTATTTATCGCATTTGCTCATTTTGTCTTGGTCTTGATTTGAGCCCGTTTGTGATCAGTTTCTTTCTAGCTTGATAGTTCCAACTCTTAATGATGTTTATTCTCGCTTGTTATATATATCATTCGTTACTCATCCAATTATTGTTTCCGGACACAAGTTTGCTCTAGTGGCTACAACATTTTCATTTGTGTGTGATGATTTTAGTTCTCATGGGAGTTCTAGAATACGTTTGGTCCACGATGCACTTGTTGCAACAAGTGAGGACATACCTCTGACAAATGTTTTAAGTTACATGGCCGGCCACCTCGGGCTATTGTTGCGCAAACTGAAGCTCCTCATTTGTCAACCAATTCTATCCTTTAACTGGTTCATATTATAAGGAGTACGTTGCTTACCAAGCTTCGAAATAGTATCTTTTTCACTCGTTGCCTCTATCGCTCACATTGGTACATCTCTTGGACTATGGTACTTGATTCTAGTGCCTCTTATCACCTATTTGGTAATTCAAAACTATTTTTTGAATTTCACAAATTTGTTCCGTTACCTGATATTACTTGAGCCGAGGGTTCAAAAGTTTTTGTTAAGGTTGTCGTGATGCTCAAACATTGTCATGTATAGCCGTAACTAGAGCTGTTAAACGAATCGAGTAGCTCGCGAGCCAAACTCGACTCGGCTCGTTAATAGCTTGACTCGGCTCGTTTATCTCTATAAACGAGCCGAGCTCGAGCTCGAAAATTATTTTTTCTACAAACGAGCTCGAGCTCGGCTCGCGAGTAGCTCACTTGAGCTCGTTAGTGATAATATATTTATATTATTTATATATTAATATAATATATATAATTTTTTACATCAAAATTTATATTTATTATTAAAATTTAAATATTTTATTATAAAAAATAATGAATAAAATTAAATATATTTAATTTATACATTAAAAAATATACATAATATGTATAAAATTCAAATCGAGCTCGAACTCGAGCTCGAGTTCGAGCCTTACGAGCCGAGCTCGAGCTTGAATTTGAGCCTAACGAGCCGAGCTCGAGGCACTATTTTGGCTCGAATTCTTAATGAGCCGAGCTGATACCGTTAACAAGTTTGAGTCGAGCTCGAACAACCAATACTCGAGCTCGCTTAGCTTGTTTAACAGCTCTACCACCCGTAACCTCTGTTCTATCTGTTGTCAATTGTCCATTTAGGGTGTGTTTGTTCGGGGGTTTGGATTTTGAGTTGAGATTTGAATAGTAAAAATTTTGAATTTGAATAGTTGTATGATGTGATATAAATAAGTGTTGATGTGATGTTTTGAATGTAAAATTGATTTTTAATATAATATAAAAAATGAAAAATAGGTGTTTGATTTGATGTTTTTGGGGGGAAAATTTTGGATGAATAGTAGGATTTTGTCTAAATCCTACAAACGAACACACCCTTAATCTTGTTTCTGTGTCAACTAACCAAAACTTTTGAATTGCTCGAAAACTTTTGACTTTGATTCATTTTCTATTTAGGACCACAAAACGGTAAGGATGATTGGCAAAGGATTTAGTTCCATGGACTGCATCTTCTTGACATTCCACCACCTTCGAACCCAATTGCTCATTCAACTGCTAACTCTCCTACGTTACTACAACGTTTGGGTCATCCAAGCCTCTCCAAGTTACATTGGCTTATTCCAAGCCTTTGTAGTTTATCTTTTTCCTGTCATCCGGGAAAACAAACTCGTCTTTTGTTTCCCCGGAAGGTTAATCTAGGTGATATACCCTTTACTTTAGTCCACTCTGATATATAAGGTCTATGTCGAACTACTTTTGTGTTTGGTTTTCAATACTTTGTTACTTTTGTTGATTTATGAAAGCTCATTCTGAGCTATTTTGTCTTTGAAACATTTTATGCTGAAATTCAAAATCTTTGGTGTCTCTTAAAATACTTTGGACCGATAATGTCACTAAATATTTTTTTGCTCCTATGACTCTGTTTCCGTCATCTTAACAAAATGGGCTTGCTGAACGTAAGAATCGCCACTTTATTGTCACTGCTCATACCTTGTTTGTGCATCATAATGTATATTTCGGGTCTTGGGTTGATGCAGTTCTTACTGCCTGCTATCTTATAAACTACATGCCTTCTTCAGTTCTACCACATATTGTTTACTTAGGACCCTTTGTATCATTTACCTTTATTTGTCTTTGGGTGTACTGCATTTGTTTGTGATCACTCTTTGGATCAAGATAAGTTAGCTCCTGCACTAAAGTGTATTTTTCTTGGTTATTCTAGGATTCAAAAGGATTATAAATACTTTTCTTCTGATACTACTTTTTTGTCGATCTTACCTTCTTTGAGTTAACCTTTATTTCTCTTCTTTGTCTACAATACCATCTATTAGTCACATGCTACCTATATCTTTCTCTCCCATTTTTCTTTCCCACCCACTTATTCATGTTTATCATTGTCATCCTCGACCCTTTGTCTCATTCCAATGTTCCTATTAATTATGTTCCTATAGCCCCTTCAGACTGTCCCTGCTCAAGACTTACCATCGTCTCCTCCTGCAACTCCTATTCTGTTGGTTCTTGCACCTTTACGCCGGGTACTTGTTCTTGCAATCCACATCCTATTTACAATTTTCTTAGTTTAGGTTCTTGTTCTTGCAACCCACATCCTATTTGCAATTTCTTAGTTTTCATTGTCTGTCTCCCACTTATTATACCTTCATTGTCTCTCTTCCTAAATTCATTTGTGAGGCTCTTTCTCATCTAGGTTGGTGACAAATAATTGTGGATTCAATGACTGCTTTACATGCTAATGGTACTTAGGACTTAGTGCCTTTGTCTTTGGGCAAATCACTTGTGGCTTGCCGTTGGGTTTATACATTGAAGATGCAAACGACTGAAGTTTTCCCACACCTCCATTTTGCACAATGCATGGACTTTGTTCAGTTGCACTGATATTCTTATGTTCGTTGTGACTTTTACACTTGAAAATTTGCTTATTTACCAATTTGATATATTATTTATTTATTTGTGCAGGTGAAACAATAACAGTAGTAGGGGACCATGATCCTGCTTTGATGAAATACTTTGACTGTACTAGGTCAGGACCCCGCTCGGCTTTCGACAGCAATGTTGTTTATCAATTTGAAATCATGGAATACGTAAGGCTGGTTCATTTTTTTTCTTTTTTAGTTTTTTTTTTTTATTATTTTTCAATATAATCTATCTATAATTCTATATACTGTTTCTATTTTTTGAGAACCCATATGTGTTAGGGGTAAACCAGAAAATCTATAAACTTTTAACATAACCTGAACCCAATTTTAAATCCAAATTCCAAACCTGAGTTTACTCTGAACCAAACCTGAATAAACCAACACGTATGAAACCCGAAAACATAGAAATAATTTTTTTACTAAATAATCTAATAAAAGCTTAAAAAAGCATTAAAAATAACTAAATTAATTAAAAACTTGGAATTTATAAATATAATTGTAACCAACATTTGTCCAAAACATCACCAATGTCTGCATATCATATGAGTAAAAATAAGCCAAACTTCCAATAATTCAATTATAAAATTAGTTAAATGATGTTTAAAACATCATACAACAATTTCAACAACCTATTTAGGTTCAGAAGTCGAGTAGATGAATTGGTGAAAATAAGGATTATTATTAGACTTGAGTGAACCAGGTCAATTCAAATTAGGTTAGGTTATAGGGTTATCGGTCATATGAGTTTTAGATTTTAAGTTATTGGGTCAACTCTAAACCTACCCGACGCAAACCAACTTATTTTACTTTTTATTTAAGTTGCAGTTAACCTGATTTTTTAAAAATATCCAAAACACCCAAACCCAGACCTTCAAAATTTCAGGTTGAACATGTTTTGGGTCATGTTCCAAATTGACAACCTTTTACCTGCAGTTCTTATCCTCAGCACCCTGAAATGTGCATAACATGTAGTTTCTTTTCTTGTATTAAGTAAAGGTTATTAATACAGTAGCATTCTAAGAATGTATGGATGCCTTTATTCTAACCTTGATAGATGGTAATGTGCTGTGATCATTCAATTGAGTAAGGCATATTTAGAAGCATGAGCTTGTGATTTTTCAATCTCTTGAAACATGAAATTACTAATAATTCATGAGGTTTTTAGATCATCTACATATTATGTAATTGCAGTTTCCTTTGTGGAGATCTTTATCATCTCCCTTACCAAGTCAAGACATCTACAATACTATATAATGCTATCATCTTAAGACAAATGGGGTGCTACCTTGGCTAATTATTTCAAATTCATAATTCAAAACTGTTTTCCTAACTACTTTTTATTTTATGACCTTGCCTTTGAAAAGCTATTTGTGTTTCAATTCCCTTTTGACGCTGAGGGTTGTACAGTGAAAATTTTGTTCCCCCCCCCCCCCCCCCCCCGCCCCCAATAAAAAATCACACCAGTAACCCATTTATCATTTAAAGTTTTGTTTTGGTTCTTTGCTTCCTTACCTATGTAGCTATAATTAAAATCTCTCTAATAAAATCTCTACCAAAAAAAGCGGAAGGAAAAATTAAATTCTTATTATTTGGATAGGAAGAAAGATATTACTAATTGAGATACCTATTTTCAAGGAAAAAGTTTGGCAGGAACAATCTTATATCAATTTGAGATTCGAACGAAGCTCATGTCGCTAAATGGTACTGGCATTTTGAAGATCACAAAGCTCTATGGAAGGCTGTCATTTGTGGTAAATTCAACATAGATCCGAGCTCTATCTGACCTTCCAGAAACTTGATTGAGCTACTTGGTTGTTGGATTTGGAATGATAGTAGGAAAAGATTTTGGTGCAAACCCTGGGAATTTGTTTATCTCCTTCTGAAAATGTGTGTGGTTATTTACAGTTTCTGGCCAAAAAAGAAAATGGCTTCATTCAGGATTTCAGCTTCTGAAAAAATGAATTTTTGGGTTGGGAGATTAAGCATCATTAGCAACTCTTTGCCTAGGGAACTGATTTTTGTGAAGGATTCTCAATATGTGTTGCAAGTACAAATATTAGCTGAAACAGTCAAATAGGCTATTCTGGAAACCCAATTCCAATGGAATTTTTGGTTGTTGGTCTTTTCACTGGCAAGCAGACAGCAGATATCAACTTTGGTCTTCTCGTTGTTTATCTAGAGCAAAACTGTTCCACAAGGGCTGTTTACTTTCATTCGGAACCTTTTCCAAGATCTACCCATAAAGGAAGGTTTCTGTTCTCAAGGTTGTTCGGTGGCAGACAGATAGTGCCCTATTTGCCACCTTGAAAGTGACATGTATCAAATCCTATAACTTAGGACAAACTCTACATGGACATTCTCTGGGAAATAGAGGAAGTCTGCAATGGCATTATTTTTTCATAGTGCAGAATCCGCAGTAGATGTGTTATCTTTGATTTTTGGTTGGTGAAACCGTGAAAGATAAATCCATTGCTGGATTTTTTAAATACCCAGGTCAATTGGAATTGCTACCGTCATTAGGGATTCCATGGACATATTCATCCTGTTGAAGCTATCAACAAAAGAGGTGGAATGGTAATACCGGAGATTTCACACCTTAATGTATACTGTACAGAAAGTACGGGTATGGGAAACTATCATATCAATACGTACAGAACCATTCAGTGTATTGAAAATTATGGTATAAAAAAATTTTGTATCGATATTAAACTGATTTTTTGGTAGGTTCAGTATATTGGTATATCAAAAAATCAGTATACCGTACCAAAAGTTAATATACCGTGATTAATAGTATGTTGCAAAATTAATGATATGCTGAAAATATCTATGTTAAAATATATTTAGAAGCAATATATTATATTTATGTTAGTTGTCTTATTTAAGAGATTCGTAGGATTCTTATCTTATTTAAACGATTTGTATATTATTATAAATATGTACGTATTCTTATGATTGAAATAGAGAATTTCAGTTTATTATATTTGAACATGGTATCAGAGCCAAATTTTCTCCGGGTACATCCATGACCTGTTATATCTCGTATATATTTTTATATTCTATAGATGTATTTGCTTCTATTTACGATCATGCTATCATTTTCATGCTGTCTCTGTCTCTTCTATTTTGATCTCCACTGACAGAGTTCTACTTTCAACTCTGACGCCGTTGAGAGTCTTGTTTTCGACTCTTAACTCTATTGAGAGTGAGTGAGTCATGTTTCCGAGTCTAGCTCTGTTGTGAGCGAGCGAGTCCTGTTTCCGACTCTAGTTCTGTTGTTAACGAGTGAGTCATGTTTCCAACTCTAACGGTATTGAGAGTTCTGCCTCTGACTCTGATCCAGTGGACGGCTATACTACTTTCAGTCAATCTTGGCGAATTCAAATTCGTACGTGGAAAATCTCAGTTATATCTTTTTCGATCACTTTTGACAAATTCAAGTTTGTTCGATCATATCTTGAGTTTGAGGAGGGGTGTTAAAATATATTTAGAAACAATATACTATATCTATGGTAGTTGTCTTATTTAAGAGATTTGTACGATTCTTGGCTTATTTAGACGATTTGTATATCACTATAAATATGTACGTATTCTTATGATTGAAATAAAGAATTTCAGTTTAATATTTTAACAAACTACAATACCAAAAATTGTCAAAATTAAAAATAATAATATAAATACATTAATAGAAGGTCGGAAAACTACATTAAAGACCACCTACTAATAGTACCAAGAAAAGGAAAACACCAATACATTCAAGGTCTAACAATATAAACCATTCATGCTCTGTATATTCAATAAATGACTTAGTATTGTTTAGAGAAATATTTCTTGTATGTCTGAATGATTTGATGAAATGTCATTTACTCTTCCGTTGGTGTCAAACAATATACCTTTAAGATCATTGCCAACACTTAAGAGAACCTTACGGTCAGGATGTAAATAAGTATGGTGCATCCATGAAATTGAGTCCATTAGAGTTTGTATTAGTGTGTATAATTGATTTCAATGTAATAGTAATTGATAGAGCCTCATGGGTAAATGATACAAGATCTCTTGCATTGGAACTCATCGTTATGGACCTGGATCTATTAGTATGGAACATTTTCTTTTGAAGTGAGATCCCCTTGTATCTTTAAAGAGTGAAAAAAGTGCTTTTGTTGTTGTGGAATAAGAAGCCTTCGCATTTGGAGCTATTAGAGCAGGATCCACTTATAAATCAAGCAAATTTAAAATCTAGGGCTTTTTGTGCACATTAAGCTTCTATACACAATTGCAAACTTTTAGTCCATATCGGTATCACAGTATATTGTGAAGTATGGTACAGTAACGTATAGTGGAGTAAGCAAAATTTTTCAGTTATTGTACTGCACCGAAAATATGACATTTTTTATATTTTTCGATATAGTACAGACGGTATATACCTCAAATGAAGAAAAACTCTTCGCTTGTAGCTCAATTAAGCTCATTGTTTAAGATTGTTTTGTAGTGCAACTATAGAATACCTTTGACTATAGATTCATGACTTAAGTGACCCTAGGGAACTTTAACTTCGATATCTACAACTTGCACCACGTCATCTTCATCTGCCTTTGTATCATCATATTCTCATGTATTTCTTGAAGTGCAAATGAGAATATAGAATTTTTTGCTAAAAATAAAGCAAGGGGAAATAAAGAACTTTATGATTGGCTGTAATAAGTTGTCTTTTGTAGGTTTTCTCATGTAAAGTTTCTGTCTAGTGATAATAAACTATCTTTTCTCTAAGAAGATGATGTATGTTAGCCATTCTTAGTTTAACTTAAAACTTCTTAGAATAAGTAATTGGCATGTTTATATTTATGTGTTATTCATTGGACTTGACATCATTCCATTTGTTGCTTTATCTTTCCTATTCTAATAGATCATTAAGAGAGTGCGCTCTTATGCTCTTTCTCCAGAACATTGATTTTGCTCCTTCGCTTTGTGGGGAATGAGCTTCTTGACTTTTAGATGCTATCATGTGATTTAATTTAATAACCCTTTACCTTTTTGATGCATATCAGATTCTCGACTTTGGCTTTGATCGATTAGGTGCAGATCAACCACAGGTACTTTTCAGTTTGAGATTCAATTTTGAATATTCTACTCGTGGTTTTAGGAATGAGGTGGAAAAATATGGTAGTTCATTGTCAACTTAGAATTTTTATTTTATTTTATTTATATTATTAGCATTAGTATTATTAAGGAATAGCATTTTGATTGTGGCAATCTAGATGTAAGTATGTTTTTTCAGGTTGAACACAGGTTGTGGCCATCAATTGAACTTAAGACCATGTTTCCTCAGCCAATTGATATGTGAAGAACTATATCCACAGTTTTTCTTAGTTGTGTGTTCTAGGCAATATTTTCCATGCCCCAAATCTGATCTTATTGAAAGGTACCAAGATATTGTGTAATCAAAACCTTAAGTATGAGGAGTACTCAATATCTTTATAAGAATTTGGGTTTTGCACTCTTATAAATGGTCTGTTTATGATTAAATCAAGTAGTAAATGCTTTATAGTATTGTAAATTTTCCTATAGTAAATAATGTATTTTAGTATGTGAAGAGGGTGTTTCCAGTGTTTTAATTATCAACCTCCACATATTACTTTGAAATTGTGGTCCCAGTCATACTTACAGATACAGTACAATGAAGACAGACCTTAGTATAATGTAGACCTTACTATTCTCCTTAATGCTTTCTTTACTCCTTGGTTAGCTTCTCACAATTTCCCTCTGTATGAAATCGTTGCATGTTTTTCATGTCTGAATTTCTTTAAGCAATAATGCCAACTTCCCATTGACTCTGCAATCATCTGCTGTTATTTTTTTGCTTTTAAATTTGTGAATATAGTGATTGGAGCTATTTGCATGCTACACCTAATATTTTTTATAACCTTTTGCTGATGGTTGATTTGTACTTCAGTTATACATTTTCTGAAATAATAAGGATCAGCAAAGACTTATTACATCTGCAGTGCCGATAATGTCAATTGGAACTGGCTAATTTTAACCTCTCAACATTTCTTATTTACTTTTATGATCTATCCACCTATCCATATCATTGAACAACCATAAGAGATAAATTTTAGTTTACAACCTCTCACCATTTTTAATTAGGTTACATTACTGTAGTTTCTCTGCAGTCTGTGCTTCTACAGTTCTGGACAAATATAGTGAATATTACAACATTTAGTACTGAGGCCATGCTTTTGACTGTAAGATGAAGCCGTGAAGCTTTTCTTCTCTTCTGGCCCGTTTTTGTAAATCACATGTTTCATTCACATGTTTATGGTTTTATCTTATTTTCACAATTTTCAGTTTGCATTTAGAGTTTGATATTAGTTTAACAACTTAACACTTGGGCCATTTAAGGATGGCTATAAGCATGCTTATTTTTTAACCCTTTCTTTTGCTAAATCTACCTTTGTGAAACAGATTAACCATCCCGTCTTGGTTACTGAATGTCCTTGCAACCCAATCCAGTCTCGCAGTAAAATGGCAGAACTTCTTTTTGAGTCGTATGGAGTTCCATCAGTAGGTAAAAACTATTTTGGTCTTTTGTAGGAAGCATTATCTCAATTCTGTTCCTCTTTCTCTCATTCTGTTATTTGAGTTCTTTCATGATCAGTGGCTGGAGATATTGGTTGAAATCTTTTGCATGCCATTGCAGCATTTGGTGTTGATGCGGCATTTAGCTACAAATACAATCAACATCTTGGGATTTGCAGTAATGATGGCCTTGCTATCTGCTCAGGATTCAATACCAGCCATGCTATCCCGGTATGCTATGCTAAAGGATTTTGATTAAATTATGTTGGAAGAATTAAAACTTTTATTGTTGCAAACAAGCTCATAACATAGAGATTGGAACATTTGGTAATTCTGAAAAGCATGGAATACTTTTCTTGTTTACATTGAAAATTAATAACTCATAATCTTAGTTCAATGTGCATAGAAGTCAATCTAGTGTTAAATATTTTATCAGTACCGCGCTGATGTTTATATGTTGTTCCTTTACTTCAATATGCTGAAGATAGGTTGTTTGACAGGGTTACGTTGTTGCTTCATAAGTTTAAAAAAAATGTCAAAAACTAGGGTTTGTCTTGAGGGTTTTTTCGAGATTTTTACTATTTAATTTCCTAATCTTCCTCCAAAAATATCACATTCAAATTCAATACTCATTTCCCATTCAGAACATTATATCTTACTACTATTTCACCTAAAAAATATATCACTTAACATAAACACGAAAGAGCAAAGCCAAAGTAAACAACCAATCCATTGCTTTCTTGAATTAGATATGCGGAATGTCAATATGTTGTGATGTATGTATAACAAGTGTATGTTAAGTGATTATGATTTGTTTGAGGTTTTACCTATTTATTTATTTGTTTTTTTGTTTATTTATTTAAAATACCGTTCCCAACACCTACTTTCCATTAAAAAAACTCAAATACAAAGCATCCCAAATAGCAAACACACACCTCTCAAGCTGCTGAACACTCAAATTCGAGTTTTTATCCCGGGAGGGTGTGTGTGGGGTAAACAGAAAAAACTCAAATATGTTCATTAAGTTTCAGCTATTGCTTATGTTTTGGACAATTTGTTTTGGCCTGTAACTTCTCTTTGATGATGTGTTTGTTACTCCAACATGCTTGAACAATTCAGTTATTCTTGGGTTGTATGCAGCTAAATCCTCACAATAAAATCTCGTAGGTCCTTTTTCACCCCACTGTTAAATCTTCTAGACAATGACTTCTAATTAAAGAAGTTCACATACTTCTTAAGCCATTGCCCAGAATTCAATGACTTTGCTATAATATTCTGTTAACTTAAACCCAGGAATCATATAGTGATAGCTCCAAACATAAAAAAATTGCAGTGTGGACCTTTGAGATAAGGTGAATAGATCTCTTGCTTTGCCTTAGCATGCTTATATGATGCATATCAAGTTGCTTGTTAACTAAACAATCACTGCACAGTGGTTGGTTATGACTCCAATATTGTGGTATGATAATTTGTGCAATAATTATTTCTCACCCTGCATTTCCTGAGGATGCAGCATCTATGAATTGGCTTTTGATCTAATTGCAGTTTTTGAATGGGGAACCTGTGTATGAAGCTTGCTGCAGGACCAATGTTGGAGGATATCACATCACTGATTATCTAAAGCAGCTTCTTTCACTTAAATACCCTCATCATATGTAAGCATTGTAAAGTCTGTTTGCATGGATTTAATATTTAATTGAACGAGGCTTGTATTCATGAATTATTCTAAACCAGGTCTAAACTTACCTGGGAGAAAGTTGAAGAACTAAAGATGGAGCACTGTTATATTGCACCGGATTATTTGTCTGAAGTTCGCCTGTTTCAGGTAACTGTTTTGCTGTGGTGCTCCATTGATTTTTCTGGTTGTGTATAGGACATGATAGAGTAATTGTTTACTCAATTGTTCTAGAAAGGGGGCGAGAAAGCTGAAGAGAAGACGCGATGTTGGCAGCTTCCTTGGACACCAGCTCCAGTAGAGGAGGCTCCCTCCGAGGAAGAAATTGCTAGAAAGGCTGCTTTAAGAGAGAAGCAAGGTCAAAGATTAAGGGAGATGGCTGAAGCTAAAAGATTTAACAGAATTAATGATCTTGAAAATGAAATAGGAGAGTTAGAGATGCTGTTGCAGAGGCTTAGTCATGCAACTGAAGATGATGTTCCCTCAATCCTTGCAAGGACTGTGTATGCCTCAAAAAAGGATTTAGAATCCGCCCTAGCGAAAGCAGCATTATCTCTGCGGAAAGCTAAGGGAGAACCCATTGAAGTTGTTGAGAAGATGGATGTTTCATTGAGTGAGAAGTACAATCTGATTAATGTACCTGATGACATGCTTACGCCAGAGCAGGTTCTTCCTTTAAGTGGTTTTGCTATTAATTCATTCTTCCGAACAGTGTCAAAAATTTATATCCCGGGTTTAGCGTTATATGGTCTTCCCCAGCATCTGTGTGCATATTGTGGATGCTCTACCTCTTCAAAGTGTTATTTATGATATTCAACCTCTCTTGACAGCTTAAACAAAAGAAGAAACAGATATTTATCAAATCCACGTCTGAGGCTCGGCTACAGAAAAAACAGAAACAGGCTGAGGAGGAAATAGAACGGGAAAGAAAGAGAAAGCTCGAGGAAGAAAGGCGCTTGTATGATTACTTAACCCGCATTTTAATATCAATTCACTTTAGTCCATTTTAGGGTGTGTGGCACCTATTTGATTAAATAATATTTGTGTCAAGACCTCAATACTTTCGATTCTTACGTTGAATCTAGTCCCATGATCATCAGATGATTCTGGTTATGACTACTTGATCTTATTTAGTGTGTGTTTGTTGTTTTTCACGTAGAGAGAATCCCGAGCGTTATTTGGAGGAGATGCGTGCAAAGCACAGAGATCTTTCCGATAAAATAGAGCAGCGAAAGAGATTAAAGACAAATGGTGGGCATAACAATGGATATCATAATGCATCCGGAGGAGGTGTTGGTCGTGGGGAAAGATTGAACTCTTCCCAGAGAGAGAGGATGCGGCTCTTGACGACAGCAGCCTTTGACCGAGGGAAGGGAGAGGACACTTTCGGCGCTAAAGATGAAGATTGGCAGCTCTACAAGCTGATGAGTCGCGACAATGACGATGATGAAGATGATAAGCCAGATCCAGATGAGGCTGAGTTAGCGCGCATCTCCTCTAGGCTGCAGGTGGGATAAAATATCCATAGAGACACAAACATTTAATCAGGCGCATATGGAGCTTATTCATTCAATTACTAACCAATAACTACAACTTGAACAGGAAATTGACCCTACATTTATTTTCAAAGCTGAAGCAGGGTCATCTTCAGCAGAAGCACCTCGTTTCCGTCCCCTGACAAAGGAAGACTTTCAAATAATACTTGGAGTTGAAAGATTCCGGTGCACGGAAGTGCTGTTTAACCCAAACTTGATTGGCATTGAGCAGGCGGGGGTGGACGAGATGGCTGGCATCTCTATCCGGAGGCTACCGGCTAAATATCAAGGGCAAGGAGTAGAAGAGAGAATTACGAGTTCAATCCTGGTGACGGGCGGGAGCAGTGTTTTCCCAGGCATGCAAAGACGGCTGGAAGCTGGAATTCGCGCCATTCGACCGTGCGGGGCGCCTATAAAGATATTCCAAGCCTCGGATCCGATATTGGATGCTTGGCGAGGGGCGTCTGTATATGCAGCTGCGGCACAGTTTGAGCGGCAGACGTTCAGTAGGATGGATTATTATGAGAAGGGCGAAGATCTCCTCAGGAATTACCAACTCGCCTACACAATTATTTGATTTGATTCACCACATTTAGATTGATCCTTATGTTGCTGGTATGTACCTGCTATTGTTATATTTATTGCTATTATTCCTAATATATATAGACATACTAGGAGGTTACTTGTAAAATCTTTATTTATGTCAAACCAGTAAGTTAGGTTGATCACAATTTACTACGATCCATCTATTGCTAGTATTTAGTTATGTTTTTTCGTTAAGATAATGTAGCAGACTATTATATATTTTTCATCGTTTGCTTAATTTAATGTTTGGCTAAATTGTACAAAATTTCGTGAAACTGTGTCAAATCTTTTATACTTCTAGAACTGAGTCAAACTCCGTTTCATAAATTTTGCGTCTAATCTCCTCGGCGGTTCTTATTTAATGGAGAAAAATAAATATATTTGTAATTTTAAGAGTTTAGAAATTCAGATTTTAAAATTTATTTGCAGTTTGGGTGCGTTTAAGTCAAAATTTATGAAATCACAAGGAGTTTGACGCAGTTTTAGAAATACGCGGGATTTGGATTTTGTGCGATTTAGCCTTAGTATTTTAACTCATAGCTTCTCGTTGGTGTTTGTGCTATGCTATATATATTCAATCCCAAATTAAATTAATTAATAATGGCTTGTCCATCACCGACTTTCTCATATTTGCTCAAGCATAGCTGCATTTAATTTGCTTAATTCTTTTGAATTAATCCAATATGTTTTTTTTTTTGGTCATTTGAGTTTACAAGAAGGCTGTGTTTGTTTGGGGGTTTGGATTTTGAGTTAAAAAATTTGAATATAAAAAATTTTGAATTTAAATAGTTGTATGATGTGATATAAATAGGTGATAATGTGATGTTTTGAATGTAAAATTGATTTTTAGTATAATATAAAAAATGAAAAATAGGTATTTGATTTGTTATTTTTGGGAAAAAAAATTTGGATGAATAGTGTAAATCCAATCCAATCCCTCAAACAAACACACCCGAAGAGTATCTACCCGTCCCATGGTTAGTTTTTTTCTTAATTCTCATTCATTTCCGACGTTTGTGCTGTTGAAATGTGTCATTTGCTGGGCATCTTTGAAGATTGTTAATCAAATGCGGATTAATACTTCTTCCCTTGTGAATAAACCTATTCATTTTGTTATTTTGATAAGACGATATTAATATATTTGTTTCAGTTTTTTTATTTTATAGTAATGGTACTTATTACTATTATATTATCTTTTTTATTTTATAAGCCTTCGATATCCAATTGTGTGTTTATTTGATCGAGCATAAATTTTTAAAAAAATAAGTAAAAATAATTTATTTTTTTGGATGACAACTATCATCAAATTTACATATAATATATTAATTAAAATTTTAAGAGTATAATTGTTCAGTTATCCCATTTATTGTATGCATATATATATATATAATATTAGTGTTTTAAAATTTACGAGAAAAAAAAATAACAAATACAGGTCAAAAGAACATATTATGTAAACATATGCTATTGCTATATGCACATGCCTATTTATATATAACTTGTTGAGCCTAAGGTCTTAAAAAAGAAGGATTGTGTATATATATAAATTTTTGGCAAAATAGCATAAAACTCCCTCTGTGGTTTTCCGAATTCGCTGAAAACCCCATGTGGTCCTAAAATTCCATAAAATCTACTTGTGGTTTCTAAAACGTTGCAAAAAATCCCCCATCCGTTAGGATTTAACGGCGATTGCATCTCACGCACTCCTATTGCAATTTTTTGTACGAAAATTGATATATTACTGTGTGAAATTACAAAAATACCCTTAGATATTAATATACCTATATTCATCTCCTTCACCTTTTTCTTCTCCTAAACAGCAGAGGACCGATGATTGATGCTCTGGGCGATAGGCTGTGGAAGACCGAGGTGAATACAGACAGCGGCGACTGGATGGCGATGAGCGGTGGTCGGCGGTGGCTGTCAAACTGGAACAAATTCTTTCTCTTTTGATAAAAATAAAAAAAAATTAAACAAGATCCCAAACAAAAAAATACCAAACTAAAAAATTAAAAAAATTAAAAAAATCAATACACTCATCAAAGTGGGTTTGCAATTGTGTTTTTGTGTTGGGAAGAATCAAGAAAGGGATGATTTTTCTTCACCATCAATAATTAAACCAAAAAAAAAAAAAAAAAAACTGTGGCTGCGCTGGACTGGGAGCGTGGGTGGCTAGCGGTTGTCGACGGCGGCGCTACTACGGTGTGGCGTCTGGTCGTGTGCGGCAGCCTGACTGGTCAAGGTGATTACAGATCGGGTTTTTTAAAAAAGGGAGAAATTAATTTGGGAATTTAGGGTTTTTTTTAAAAAAAAAAAGAAGAAGAAGGAGAAGAAGAAGATGTATAAGGAGGGGAAATAGAGAAGAAAAGTAGTTGGGCAAGGAGAAGAGAGTGGTGGAGGAAGAAAACGATGGTGGATGGTATGGGTTGGGACGGGAAGAAAAGATGAGGCGTTGAAGGAGAAGGGGAAGGGGAAGGAGAGAGAAAAGTGATAGAGTAGGGAGAAAGAGAACTTAGACAGGGGTATAACGGTCATTCTGTGTAAAAATTTAACACCGTTAATGCAATTTAGAAAGATTAGGCGAGTGTGCAACGTTTTAAAAACCACAAGTAGGTTTTATGGATTTTTTGGACCACAGGGGGTTTTCAGCAAATTTAGAAAACCACAGGGGAATTTTATGCTATTTTGTCTAAATTTTTTTATCAAATCAATTTCTTTATAACTTTTCGTTACTAATTTTTTTTTTCCATTAACCTTCCATTTTCAATTACTTTTTTCTTTTAACTTTTATGATTATTAAAAAGACTTAAATATCTTTCATCATGTTAAATTACTTAATATAGCCTTAGAATTCAAACTTTAAACAAACATAAAAAAAAAAAAAGAAATTGTTTCACCAATGTCACCGATTATAATTGCATAGGCTGGTTGCATCAAATTTATGTTAGAAATATATAAGATTTTCAAAATTAATGTGTTTTAATTCATTGTTGATTTTTTTACTGTAATATAACCATCTATACAAAGAATGACAACAAAAACAATAATCTTAATTCCAATAAAAAAATGAAGAAAATGTGTAGTTCAAAGTTATTATCTTTCACACAAAAAAATCATATTTTCAACGGAAATAAGGATGTTTTCACGAGCTCGCGGAAAGATCTCTGATTTTTGCTTAAAATAGGTACTTTTTTACTTGAGATGAACCAACGTAAACACATTATGTTTCCGCGAGGACATTGAATTTTGAAGATAGTTGTATTTACAATAGAAGACAATTGTACATACACAAGTTGTACCAACATAAGAATCATGTTGCACTTAGCCCTTGCTAGACTTGTACTTGTACTAGAAGAAACTTGTATTTCGAGATCAAAGTTGAGATTTTTGAGTTTTTTTATCGGATTCAAAACCAACCGTACGTTTACTTCAAGAAAAAACATATATCCTATAAATTATATGACAAATTCTCAATAATACGACGTCATTTTTCATGCTAAGTGTAAATGTATATGTAAATATTGTAACTCAAAAAAACATATATCCTATAAATGTATATTTTTCCATTTTTCATGCATAAACTCAAAGTTGTAACTCCATAGGAATTAGATTGTTTTTTGCCCTTCCTATGCTTGTACCTATACTTGAAGAAATTTGTACTTTGAGACCAAAATTTATATTTTTGTGTTTTGCCACCGTATTCAGATGCAACCGTATATATACTTCAGCAATGAGTACATATCTCACAAATTATATATATATATATAAAATCCAACAAAACAACGTCATTTCTCATGCAACGTGTAAATCTATATGTAGATATAAAAGTTTTAATTGTATATATAAATGTATAGATAAGTATTGTATATATAATTATATATATATTAATGTATATGTATATATATACATTGTAACCGCTTCGAAAAAATAGTATGCGGAAGATTTTGCCTACAATAGAAGAAGTTGTACTTACATAAGTTCAAAATTGTTGCTACATATTTATCAAGTTGCACTTAGCCCTTCCTAGGTATGTACCTGTACTAAAAGAAACTTGTACTTCGAGATTAAATTCGATATTTTTGAATTTTTCCACCATATTCGGATGCAACCATACGTAGATTTCAACAATGAGCACTTATCCTACAAATTTAAAAAAAAATTGACAATAAAATGTCATTTTTCATTCAAAATGTAAATGAATATATAAATCTTGTTTATAAATATTAGTCAAGTATAAATATAAATGTATATGTAAATAAATATCTACTTGTAAAATTTGTTTATAAGTATTTTATATACAATTATATATATTAATGTATATATATTGTAACCGTCTCAAATAAATGATATGTGAAAAATTGTGCCTACAATATAAGATAATTGTACCTACACAAGCTCAAAATTGTATATTTATAGGAATTAGTTTGGCTTGGCCCTTATGATTGTTAGAAATCGCATGTGTTAAATATTCATGTTATATGCGATATTCGATTGATTTTGATTGGATTTTGTCTAATTTCGGTATATTATTTATTTCTGCGGGAGAGAAAAAACAAATTTGGCGTGATTTGAGAAAAAAAATGAAGAAAATTTCAGATTTGCACCCCCAAGTTAGTCATGCCATAACTAACTCCACCCTATTGACATGAAAATTTAATTAAAAGGCCAAAAGCCCAACTGCTAAAATAAAAGAAGGGCAAAATTAAAAGAATAGGCACATAGAGAAGAGGAGAGGACAACTAGAGAGAAAATACGCACAGAAGCAGCAGACTGACAGACTCATAGATCGCGCAGGAGCAAATCGACAGAGAAGATTTCCCCTTCCACTATGACTTTATCTTTCACTTTTGTTCTTTGCTATTTGATTGTGGAGTAGTTACTTTTCTGGTTTGAGAGATGATAATATTTTGGTTCTTGTGTTTTGAAAATTCTTAATTTTCTCTATAAAAGTTCTTTTTTATTATCAATATTTGTTTAATCCTGCAAATAACGTTTGTGATTGTTAGATTGATTGAATATTTTGGTACTGATATTTAAATTGGTCTGATAATCTAAAGTCAATTCAGGTAGGATATCTGTAATTGTATTCGCATTTGAATAAGTGAGTATGAATATCAATACGTAAACAGAAAGCGCAACCAACCGTAACCCAAAAAGTCATGGCAATATTCCTGACCATTCGGGGTCCCATCTTAACACATAGCAATTCACAAATATAACATAATCAAACTCAAAATGATAGACCAATCTCGGCTATAACATAATCAAACTCAAAACAATAGACCAATCCTATATCGATAGCCCTTTCTCGGCTAAACAATAATCAATGTCATATAGATAGCCCACTCTTAGCTAAACGATAATAAATATCATATCAATAGCCCACTCTCGGCTAAATGCTAATAAATATCACATTGATAGCCCACTCCCGGCTAAACGGTGATAAATACCAAATCAATAGCCCACTTCTGACTAAACGATAATAATATCACATCGCTAACCCACTTCCGGTTAAACAATAATAATATCACATCGATAGTCCACTCCAGGCTAAACGATGATAAATGCCATATCGATAGCCCACTTCCAACTAAACGATGATAAATGCCACATCGATAGTCCACTTACGACTAAACGATAATAAATGCCACATCGATAGCCCACTCCCGACTAAATGATGATAAATGTTGTATCGATAGCCCACTTCTGGCTAAACGATAATAAATGTCACATCGATAGCCCACTCTTAGCTAAACGATGGTAAATGTCATATCGATAGCCCACTCCCAGCTAAACGATAATAAATGTCACATCGATAGCCCACTCTCGGCTAAATGATAGTCAATGTCATATCGATAACCCACTTCCGACTAAACGATAATAAATATCACATCGATAACCCCCTCCCGGCTAAACGGTGATAAATGCCAAATCGATAACCCACTCCTGGTTAAAGGATAATAATATCACATTGATAGCTCACTCCGGCTAAACGATGATAAATGTCATATCGATAGTTCACTCTCGGCTAAACGGTGATAAATACAAAATTGATAGCTCACTTCCGGCTAAACGATAATAATATCACATCGATAGCTCACTCCGGCTAAACGATGATAAATGTCGTACCGATAGTTCACTCCCGGTTAAACGATGATAAATGCCACATCAATACCCCACTCTCAGATAAACGATAATAAATGCCACATCGATAGCCCACTCCCAGCTAAACGATAATAAATGTCACATCAATAGCTCACTCCCGGATAAACGATAATAAATACCACATTGATCGATGTTGTATTTATTATCATTTAGCCGGGCCCACTCTCGGAACAATAATCACACAAACATATAAACACGAGAGCACATCATGTAACGTATCTCACTTGATCAAACATTCACACCATAAGACACACAATCATAATTCACGTCTAAGCACACAATCGAACATATAATCAATTGCCTATTCATTTTAGGCACGATCTGATGGCTATTCGGCTTACAATATTTACGTCCATACCTTAACTACAGATAGCAGACACCAAGCAGCCGCCTGGACAAACCCGATCATAACGATCTAAAATAACAATCAATCTCAAATCAAAATAAGAACACTATAATAACATGAACCACTTGCTTGTTCAAAAACAAATTTCTCTAACTAGCTCGTTAGGTTTCAAAATTTTTTATTTGGAGGAATACAATATTCTTGATATAAAACTCTTATGTTTCATGATATTTATATCGCTCGATTATTAAATAGAAATTCTTAAGGATATGAACAAATAGCTAGGTACAATAACACTGCCGTTTTCAATTCTGTTTGGATTGATACAAAATTCTCAAATATATTATTAGGATTACAAATAGACTATTAGCTAAAGAAATTTAACGATTAAATAAGTAAATAGTCAATAATGAATTTCCGAATAATTTTCTAATTTAATAATTTTTAGACGATTAATTTTTTTTTTCTTTTTATTTTATTTTTATTTTTCTTCATCCTTTCTTCTCCTTTTCTTTTCTTTCCTCGGTGTTTTCTTTTACTTCGAGATAAGGCAAGGGTTGGTTTTGTTTGACTTTTCTTTAGATTATATATATATACTTCTAATATTATTATTATTATTTATTATTATCATTATATTATATTATATATAGATAATTATCATTATCGTTATCATTATTATTATTATTATTATTATTATTATTATATATTTATAATTGATTCTTTAATATTAATTTATTACTCCTATTAAAATTATCAAAATATCTATTTGATAATAATTATATATATTAAAAAATTGGGATATTACAATTACTATATATTTTTTTCATATATTTCCTAGAAACAAAAGATAATATCTATTCAACAAATTAAAAACTTTTAACATAAAAAAATTTAATGTATTCTACTATTTAACAAACACATAAAATTAGTACCAATGCAATAAAATACAATCAAGGTAAAAAAAACAAACAAACACATTTTGATAACATTTTGAATACTTTTAACATAAATAACCAAACTAAATAATTACATAAATACAAAAAAAACATATAGAACACATAACAAAATGCAAACAATATTACAAAATAAAATCAAAATTATAAAATAACATTAAGTCAAAACACACACTTAATTTTGATGGGAGTCATTGTGGGCGGACGACATGGCGACGACGGCGACGGCAATGGTGGTGATTTCTGTCGAACAAATCTCATTAGGGCAGCACAAGTTCGAAATTTTGAATAGATTTGATAATTTTGTGAATTTGTATGTTGTTGGAGTGTAAAAATGAAATTTGAAAGTTACAAAAATATAATTATATGATGAGAGAATTTTAGGGAAGGAAAATAAGATTGAGAAATTTTACAGAAGTTCTCTTTTATAACGCATGTATTTTATAGATTCTTGTTATTTTCGTCACTATAAAAAAATATTTATAATGATTTAAGTATTTATTTTCCATGCACAGTTATAATTATTTGTATTATTATACTATAATTATTTTATTAATATATTTTTTTCGGCCTGAAACTATAGTCTTGATTGTATTGGACACAAAATTTAAAGAATATTGATACTCCCTCCGTCCCGGTGCAAGATTGTCGTTTACTTTTTGCACGTAAATTTTTGAATATTAGTATTATAAGGAGTTGTAGTGAAAAAGACGAAAATACCCCTATTAGTATTGTATAATATAAAAGTAATGACATTTGTGTAATATAGTGTAAATTGGAAGGGTATTTATTATGTTAGGTATGTAGTACAATTACTAAATTAGAAAATGATAATCTTGTTTGAGACAGACGAAAATGAAAAATGACAACATTTCAATGGGACGGAGGGAGCATTATATTGATAGTGAGTAAAAAGTATAGACAAAAGATATTTTTGCCCTTGTGAGTGTATTAGTGTAAAAAATAGTGACAATTGTGTAATAATAATGAAAGAGTAAGAGAAATTATACAGTGATATGGTTATTTATGAAAATAAGACTATTATTTTAGGACTGATAAAAATAGTAAACAAGACTGTGGTGGTACTGAGGAGGAGGAAGAATTTTTTTAATTATACTGTACTGTTTTTCCCATTTTATCTTTTTAAAGCTAGAGGATATATTGAAGAATATTATACCTTATCTGACCATTTATTTCATCGTCACTCTAAACGGTGTATTGTATTGATGATATGTTAATAATAATAAAAATAATAATAATAATAAAAGCGATGGCCGCAGTTCCCAATTTTGAAAACGATGACCAAAACAGCAATTCGCTTCAGTCATATGATCTGATACCGCAACCGTCTGCGATTCTACTCGATAAAATTCCACAACGAGATTAGGTTAGGTCAGGACTGAATTGGGATATCGCCAATGTCGTGGTTGCGATCGGCTGTAAACAAGGCTGTGGAGGTGGGCAACAAGAACAACCTTACCCTCACCTTCAAGAACTATGCTGACTCCGTCGTCCATCACGCTGGCCAGGCCGTCGCCGAGGGCGCTAAAATTCTCCAAGATCGCATTGTAAGTTTGCTTATATTCTAGCCTCCCGTCAATTCTTTTTTTTTTTTCTATCAATTTTGCGGATTGGTTGATTTAGGTCAGCGGTGAGTTGGGGTGAAATGGAACAGTGCAATTCGAAATTGAATGTAACAATCAATAGTTTCATTTTATATTTCCAATAATTGAGTGTTGCAACTTTGGAAGCGATAGTATATGTATCTATAGTTTAGTTGAAATGTGTGGCAAGAACTTGTACTGGGAGAGAGAATAGTTATGTGAACATGAGCTTTCCCCTTTCAGGTGACATATATGAGTGGTTTAGAAAATTTAGGTGTTTGTTAGGGCCTTATCAATCATGAATTCATCATATACACAGCAAGGTTATGTTAAAGGTTCGTTTAGGTTTCAATGTTGTGCATATGAATGACTAGTTTGAAGGTATAAGATGCCATAAAGATGTTTATTTTCATCATTTTTATTTTTTGTGAGAGGGAAAAAAAAAAAAAAAAAAGATTTAAAGTATGAAATTGATGCTTATATTGTATATATTAAGATATGGAGTACTCTAAACATTTGATACAGTTTTAGCTGTTGACTTTTAAACTAAATTTATGCCATAAGTTCTAGTCTTTCATTACATACTTTTTTTTAATGGGTGACTGATAGCGTTTACAATTTCTGATGCATTGTTATACACACTATTTTTGGATATGCAAAAGTATATAGAGGGTTAAGTAATCTTTTGTTTATGAATTGGGGCGATGGTGAAACTTTTTTTTTTTATATTATTATTATTATCATGATGATTATTATTTTTGAAGAGAGGAAAGATATTCTTGAATTGCTGCAAGTATGGGCGTTATATTTTAGTTTAGTGTCTGCATAGTTGCTGCGATAATTTAATCTTAAACATAGACTGTCATTCTCTCTTCCATTATTATTATTAATTTTTTTTCGGGGGGTGGGTTGGGGGCATACTGTTCAGCATTTACTTATATTCCCCACTTAATCCTTCAGGGTGGTCCGAACTATAGAAGTTTTAAGCAGACCGTGAAGAGGTTGGAAGAGGCGTCTGTTTCATGCAGGGGTCGTGAGAGAATTGAGCTGATGAAGCGATGGTTAGTTGCTCTGAAAGAAAGTGAAAAATCTTCTATTAGTACATTTGAGGATAAAAGTAAGAGCACTGAGCAACAGCCACAAATTGATGAACGAAAGGACAGCCCCAGAAAGCAACCTATGGTGAGCTCCAACTGATGATAGGCTGGTTGCTACTCTTCTTGATGTTCTTCTTGCTATGCTTCATAGGAAAGTCAACAAAGTCTTTTGGGGTTTAGGAGATTCTTTACTCTTTAGATCAGGGTGGGTATTCTTTTTAATAGGGGAGTGCATATAATTTGGAAATGTAATCTTCATTGATGACATTTCATTTGGAAACATCTTCATACATGGCATACAAAGTGTAGAGAAGATTACAAGAATGTGCTTTCATTAAATTGAACTTTTAATTTAAACTCAGCCAAATTAATCTCAATGTCTGAATACACCTAATTAAAATTTGTATATGCCAAATATATTTGAAATGTTTGGCATTTGCCCCATACACTTTACAGAGAAATCTAACCATGATTTGGATTAGAAAGAGCCACACCTAGGATCTTCCTGAGGTATATTTATCAAGCCCAAATCTTGTGTTTCTCTTTTCATGTGGTTATTAGAACCATGGCAATTGCATGTCCTGGTAATGTTTAACTCCTTGTCACACTATTAGCAGGTATGCTGCTTGACTTTATAGCCGGAAGCTGTTTTACATGCATGAGTTATTTACTTAGAACAATGTATGCCCTTGGTTTTTCTGTATCTCATATTGTATTGTGTAGATTTCCTTAGCGTGCTATCTAGATGTAACCTTCTCTTTTATGGATAGATGCTCAGTTATTCCCACAAACAATATAGTCACCTAGATGGTCTTCAGGTATATACGGTGTTCTCTGCTGTGATTTGTTTAACTTGTCTTCTATTTTAAAATAGGAATATGCCTTAATGTTGTCATATGAATCATGTAAATCTGTCTTTCTTCTATTCATGATACATTATAACCTTGTTTATTCTTTTATTTATCTATTTTCCCTGTGTTTTTTTTTTTGTTGTATCATTTTATCATGAATTCAGATGTTGTCATTTAATCATATCCATATTCACAGGTATTGTACTATGACTCAGATATGGGTGGTGATCCTTTGACTTTTCGTGATGTATTCCTGTACAGCCAGGCTTTGGAGGGAATATCAATATGTATGGTATGTAATCCCGTCTTGCCTCATTTCAGTAAATGCATTTTTCTGAAGCTAGGTTATATGTAATTGATGAACTTTAAATTCATTCATCCAATGTCATAAAAGTACTTCTTTGTACTGGTAACAACAGCAAACCTTTCTTGACCAAATAATACAGTTGACTAGCTAAGGGAATATTGCTGTTTCTTATATACGTTTGGTTTAATTTTTATGCCATGTTTGGCTTAACATCGTATATATGTATTATCTCAAGGGGACACTCCAGTAGTTTTCATCCAATATCTCTTTAGAGGAGATCTTGGGTTTCAAACTTTCAATCCATTTGCTTCTGTGTCTATGGGGATGCTGACTGTTAAATTTCCTCATATATTTGAAATAAGTTTCAATTGGAAAGATCTTTTAATTTCATTTTGGTTTGGCTCTGTCATGAAGTACAGTGTTGTTTTATTTGTACACTAGCAGGCCATCAATGCTAATTAGTGTATTACTGGTTGCCCTGAGCTACATTTATGGATTTGTTCATAAAATCTGTTTTGATTTAGATTCTTGAAGCCCCAAATGATAAAGAAGTTTCCATGCTCCTTGAATTGTTTGGGTAAGTTCACTTTTTTTATTCCCTTTTTCAGCTGTTGTTAATATATGTTTCATCCCAGAAAATTTCATTAATCTCTGTTATTGGAGCATATGAGATGACATATTATCACCCTTGTTATTTGGGCTTGTGCAGTCTCTGTTTGACTGGAGGGAAGGAAGTGCACTATGCAATCGTGAGCAGCATTCAGGATCTTGCTAAAGCTTTTTCACGCTACCAAGATGAAGTACTGGTACAAGATGGAGCTCAATTTGATCAATTTGCAGTAATATTTCTTAGTTTAGGAAATATCTTGTAGATTGCATTTAGGCTGCGTTGAGTAGAAGGAGCTATAGTTTGAGCTTCTGCGAAACAAACTAAAGACACTAGTGGCATATCTTTCCATGCATCATGTGATGTAATTTATAAAGCTTATCAGTGATCAGATTGTTGTTTGAGCAGGTGAAGAGGGAGGAATTGCTTCAGTTTGCTGAAGGAGCCATCACAGGGTTGAAAGTCAATGCTGATATTCAAAGGTATGATTGATTAAAGTTTCAATGTATTTTTTCTTGTGCATTTTCCTCTATCTAGTTGTTGATAAGTAAAAGATAAGTGGATATAAATTTGTGGGTTGTAGAATGGAAGTCTTTGGTATGTGTTAGTTCTGTTTAATTCTATATTTTAAGATGATTTGGTGTGAAGATCTGGGTTATTTCCTTTTCTTTAATATTATGTTACTTTTTTATTGGAAGGCTGTGAAGAGTTATTTTGTCATTTAAATATTATAGTAGTTGATAGAGGGTCGTGGGGTGCACCATGGAATACAGATTTAGAAATATTATTATTGGAGTGTTTGAAAATCCGAATACAATAGTTTGATAGAATGACCATTATTTTAAGAAGATTGAGACGGCTTAGAGAATTTAGGGAAAATTATTAGCTAGTAGTAGTCTTGTATAGATATTTGCATTATTCATAGTAATGAAAGAAGACAATTGCTAGATGCAAGCAAGTTTACTAGAAGTGGAAGTTTTTGTTGTCACGGCGTCGTATAGGTGACGCCTTGGCGTCCTGGCAATGCACCATTACCGCCAGGAAATGTCGCCTCGCCATTTGGCGAGGTCGGCGTCCAGGCGTCGCCAAAAACGACGCTGGGAAACACCCAAGCCTTAAAGGAACACACCCTTTAGTTCATTTTCTTATGCAATACGTTATAATTGTTATAGATAAATATTACTCTATGTTTTTATATGATCTTATGAAATGAGAAACGATAGAAAAAACTATTTGTATGGTAGGAACTGTTTCTCTGCTATAACTGCACCAATCCAGTTGAGCTTGAGTTAATAATGGTATAATTAAGTCATTTAATCTTGAGTTCGGATTATATATATATGTGTGTATATATTCACACACTTTTTTCTGTATGAAGAAGTTTCTGAAAATGATAATATGCACCTAGCTGACCTTAATTAGAGATTATAGATTCTTTAAAAGACATGGTGAGGTGGGGTTTCCACTTGGCAGGATGAGTTCTTTCTTATTGGTTTTTTGCAATTTTATGTCTCCAAACAGAATTGATGCTGATATTTTCACACTAAAGAAACAGCTTGATGAATTAGGATCTGCACACGCTCGGCATGGTGATGATCATGAAATGAATGTTAAGAAAAGCTCCGGCCCAAAAATAGAGGTGAGTACCAGCTGTTCCTTCCTTTTTAATCACTGAAAGCCATTTTGGGTGATGTTTTAATTTGTCTTTCAGGAAAAATATGAAACTGGTGAGGGTATGTCTCAACGGATCTAGTTATACTCAAGTGTTTTGCTTCCAATACTAATAATCTCCATTCCAATGCTAATGAGGGCTTTTATCATAGTCCTTAGGTTTTCGCAATTTAGCGGACTTAGTTATGTTGTCATCATATCATGTGCTTAGTGCTTAGTTTTGAAAATAAAATTTTGTTTATTTTACAATTGGGAAAAGGGATATCCTGTGGGTTATAGTTAGCTAACATGATTTGTTCAAGCTGCTGCTGCTGCTCCTTATTCCTAAAATTCTCTATTTTAAGTTGCTGTATGAAATTCCAAATGAAGTTTAAAAGGTAGGGTTTGTTTGGTTTTGATATGAGTGGAGTTTTGATTTGAGTTTTGGTTTAAATAGTATTTTGATGCGATGTTTTGTGAGACAAAATAATGTATTTTTGTTGAGAACCGTGCGGGCTCAATAGTGTTGAAATAAGTTTGAAATCATACCCAAACACACTCTGACTGTTGGAAATAAGAATGAATTCCGTTCAATTGTATAGAATCACTCTACTTATAGGGTATTATCATAAGGTAAAGATGAAAATAAAAATCCTTGTGCAGATTTTTTGCCCCTCAATATTCTGGGTAATTGCTAAATATGTATGAAACCTACATCAGGTATATAGCATCTTAATATTACTAGATAACTATCAACTACTTTGATCATCTTAAGCATGGATAATATCAAGTTCTTCACTGGTCATCTTTGTCATCTCCATGTGAAACTCAAAAAAAAAAAACTCCACTAGGTTGTAAGCTTTTGGTTGCTTTACATGGATAATATCAAGTTCTCCTTGTTAGCTTTTCTTTTCTACATCACGATGTGTAGCTTGTGTATATTCAAGGTTTGTGGAAGGACAATGTTAGTTTCGAAAAATGGCTCTACATAGAATTTGTCATGGTGGAGGTTTTGAGAACAGAGGAAAACAATGATTGGTGGTGGTTGTGGCTCTAGTGTTGGTGACTACAAAGAGAGAATGAAAAGGAACGGATGGATAAAATAATGCTCAAATTTGGAACATCAACTATTGGTTTGTTCACTTAGTATTTTTAGGTTGTACGATTCTCCATAAATATTATTAAAAAAATATAATATACACACATTAACACAATATGAGATATATATATACTTTATTCACTCACAAAAAGTCAACATTCAATACAAAATATTATTTTTTATATTAGCAACAAAATTCCCTTTACCTAACTTAAAAAATACATCAACTCAAAAAAACAAAGTGAACAAACCATATGTGTTTAAAGATAGTTATCATTGACAGGAATAGATGATCAAATCATTAATCAATAAAATACCTGGGGATTTGTGGAAGAGTTGAGAGGATTTGGGCACTTTTGAGCAAGAGAGAGCATTCAATGTTTATTCTTGAATAGAATGCTTGAGTTTTAGCCATGATTATCACCTAAATTGGTTCCCCCATTAGCTCCTAAATTAGCTGCTGTAATTAACTTCTCCCTTGTACTCTATATATACTTAGTGCATCAATGAGAAATATCATATATGGTATTCTCTCATTCTTGGAGTTGAACCCACCACATAGGTTTCTTCCTTGTTTTATCCCGACTAAGGAACAATAAACCCCAACTTGAAAGAAAGAAAAGGAAGGAGGCATTTTCGGGGACAAGCTCCCTCTCTCCGAACCGACGATACCCCATATACTTAGTTGCCTCTTTCTCTCTGGTCCTATCGGTGACATCAACAGAAAAATAGTTGTAGTTGAACGGGAGGCTGCCACTTTTATGGTTTTAGCAATAATCAAATCATCTAGCTTCCGTACTATCCACAATCAGCATACGCACAATGATAGCATGATTTTGGTATGGATAAAAGAATAATGTGAGGTTAGAATTGCTAATTAAAATAATGTATATCGTAACCTAAAAACAATCAAAATAATAATTTTTTCATGTTAATTGGTGATTGAGTGGTTGAACTCGGGAAATTTATTGTTGATGGGAAGATTCAACCAAGAGTGCACACGAGTTTATGAAATCACGATAATGAAATTGAATATATCTTACACCTAAAATTACACTACGAATGGAACATGATAAAAGTGAAATAATGGTGTTTGAATTGTATGAATCGCTGGTGTTTTGCCTATGGAAATTGTGTTTAGGCAAAGTGGCAATAAATGGCATTATTCTTCGTGGTTCACAGATTGAGTGAGGTGGTAGATAGATGATGGGGATATATTTGTTAGACTTGGAAATAAGAAAGAATATAAAGGGGGAGGAGTATTTGGCAGTATATATGTAGAGTTATACGCGAGAGTGCTACGTGGGAGGGGTCACATAAGAGTTCCATCTTGCTAGATGCCTCATGATCGCGAATCGCGATGATAGTTAACCTATAGATTTCAAGGGTTGGTATACTAAGAACCCAATTTTTAAGGTAATTTTCCATTTATGTGAATATAGTTAAGTGTTCGGTGAGTTGTTCTTCTTGACACTCGCGATTGATAACCTAAGTACTAGCATGTTTTTTGTTTGCTTACTACTTATTTTAAGTTGAATTGGATTTTCACCGACATTTTAGTCTACCTTGACTATGATGAGACTTTAGCTCCGTTGTCAAGTCTTAGCCATCCAAACATTCTTTCCCTTGTTGTCTATAAAAATTGGTCTATCCATCAACCGGATGTAAAAAATGCATTCTTACATGATGATGCTTACCAAGCCTGTGTTCTGTCAGCACCCATTTGGCTTCGTTGACTCCATGCAATCCCAAGAAGCTGTTTTATGCACTTGAACGGGTGTTGTGTGCTTGGTAGAACCGATTCTAAGCCTTCATGCTCTCCATTAGTTTCCATGGCTCCAAGTGTGACATGTTCCCCTTCATCTACAACAAAGACTCTGAGGCTGTCTACTTGTTTTTGTATGTCGATGACATTACCCTCACAACTTCATCATCGGCTCATTTTTCACCGAGTTATTACAGCTCTCTAGCAGGAGTTTTGGATGTTTGATTCGGCACTCTGCATTACCTCGTGGCATTTTTATCTTACTAGAGAAGTACATTGTTGAAATACTAGAGGTATGCCAAAGTAACCTAGAGCAACTCTTGCACCACACTTATCCGCATCTGCTCAAACTTTTTATCCACATCTGCTCAAATTTTTTATCCACAACTGATGATCTAGTAGCTGATCCAACACTTTATCGGAGTCTGGTTGGTACTTGGTGCAACGCAATACCTCACCCTCACTTGGCTTGACATCATTCATGCGGTAAAACAAGTGTGCTTACACATGCATGACCTAGTGAACATCTCTCTTGTCAAGAAGATTTTGATTTATGTAAAAAGCATGGTCTTTGTTAAGAAAGGATATGGATTCCAACTTAAAACCAATTGGTATTAAGTAGAGTAGCCATTCACCATTGTAAACAATAGGGAGTTCTCACATTTTTCTTACGTAGGACAATATTCAAAACTCTCCCTCGAGATGACAATCTCGAAATCCTAACCAGGATCAATACTCTATACGGGCACTATGACTCTAATAACCGTTGTTAAAAAAGGAATCTAGGGCTCCATCCTAAAACCAATTGGTGATAGGAGGAGTTGCCCTTTAACCTTGTATTAAAGGGAACTAAAGGACAACTTCTCCTATCACCAATTGGTTTAAGATGGAGCTCCGGATTCCTTTCTTAACCGCCTTTAGCTGTCTTGTGGATCTATATGTGCACTCATTGTCTACTCCAATGCTGATTGGAAGTTGCTCCATCTCCAGCCTCTGTGTTTTCCTCAACAACAATCTCATCTCACACTCTTCCAAACAGCTTCACATGGTATCTCACTCTAGAGTGTTGAGGTTGAATACAGCAAAGTGGCCAATGCCATTGCAGAAATTTGTTGGCTTCTTCAACTTCTACCCAAACTCTGCCAACCTTTCAATGAAGCCATAGTTGTCCACTGACAGCATCAGCATAGTCTACCTCTCTTGCTAACCGATGCAACATTAACATACCAATCATGTCAAGATTGCTCTACACTTTGTTTGCGAGCGGGTAGCGCTTGGAGTCGTGTGTGCTTCTCATTTCAACTTTCCTTCAATATGCAGGTATCTTCACCAAAGGATTGCCAGATGATGTCTCAATGATTTTCGTTCCAGTCTAATGTCCGGTCTTTCCCCGGTTGACACAGCGGGGGGCTGTTGGAAATTTATCCTTTATTGTCTCTTAGATTAGATCTCTCATTAGCTCCTATTGTAATTAATTCCTACCCTTGTGCTCTATTTATACCCAATGCATCAATGAGAATTATAAATATAGAACTTTTCTCATGATGGATTTAGAACTTTTGAGTAGCTGAAGCTAAAAGTAGAAATATTGAGTTCATTATAAGATAGATATACTCTAGTTAAAAGAAATTTCTTCCCAGTTTAGTTCTAGGGTCTGTACAAGGGTAAGAGTTGGGAGTGATATACTCTAGAACATCATTTGTATTTTCTTTGTTGATCTGACAAAATGCCTATCGCAGAGTTCTGTGCAGTGCTGGCTGTTAACTCATAATGTATTCTACTTATTTTCCGTGTTTAGGATCTTAAAGAAGCACTTGCACACATCAGAATATGTTCCAGGTTAGAAGCTCTTTTACAGAAAAAGAAAGCTCTTAAATACGGAGATACAGCTGAAATTCATACCCAAAAGGTGAACCCTGGGAACTTGTGCTCCTTTTACTATATTCTAAATTCTGCAAGATAGTTCAAATTCAAAAAGCATATCCCTGTATCATTATTGTAGAAGTAGCTATCTTTTGAGGCTTCAGTTGTTTTTCCAGCAGTGAACCTTTTAATGTTCATGTCTTGTTACTAGTACATTACATGTGTTTTAATTGTGCAAATCGTTTGACCATAGTTATTCATCATGCTTTCTGAATTTTGGAGATGCTTACATTGTCATTCTCTGCTATTTTTAAGTTTTTGACTTCTTGTAAACTTAATGATTTTAGTATGATCAGCTTCATGTTCAAATATATGAACAAAAAATTTCATGTGCCGACAACTTATCTCTTGGTTTCTAGAAATTCTCAAAACATAATATGCATCAAGTTGCTGATAAATTTACAATCACTTGGTAGGCAAGATATCTCACTTTTATTCTGAACATGTCAGATTGATAAGTTAAAAATCCTGTTGGAATCTTTGGCAAGTTCCTCTGCAAAAGCTGAGAAGCGTATCTCGGATAACAGGTATAAAATTGTGTATGAAAAGGGAACTTTGTTTATTCAGTTTCTTCTTCTTCTTCTTCTCCTTTACTGTTTCACTATTATACTAAATTTTCTCAAGCTGATTTACTCTTTAGGTTGTGTTCTTTTGTGAGTTTTACCGCAGGTTTTTATTATTCAAATTCTTTTTTTCCTCCAAAAATATCACATTAAACAATTATTTTTCTTTTTTTATATTATACTAAAAATTTATTTTACATTCAAAACATCACATCAATCTCTATTTATATTACATCAAAAAACTTTTTATTATTTAAAAATCCAAACCCAAAAACTAAAACCCACAAACAAACACACCCTTTACTTTTTTATAGGTTTGATTTCATACTACTTAGATATGCTCTGCATAGTAATTATCCACTATGTGCTCTAATTGTACTTTTTTTCCTCTAGTTATATTTGATCCTTTATGAAATATTTAGTTTTACCTTAAATACTTTTTTTTGCAGCTATTTTAGATTGATTTCTTTTGGACAGCACTTGTATCTGCTTCATTGATTGTGAATTTGATGTCCATTCTAGTATTTAATACACAAATCACTTTCCAGTGAATGATATCTATCCTTTTCTTGATGATACCATACAATGAAGACTACTAGATTGGAAAGCTTCAAAATGTGTTAATATCAGTCATGACAATTATATCGTACAATGATCCCTTTGACTATCCTGTTATTTTATAGTATTCTGGAAGTATTCTATGACACTTTCATCTGTAAATACAGTCTACTAATATTGAGGAAAAATATTATATAGAGTGTCGCATCACTTCTAGGAGGAATATAAACTCTATTGATACCATGTCTTGTATCATATATGTCGTTTTACAGAAATAGAACCTTTGATATTATAGTTTGCACGTTAAAGTTAGTATTTTGTGTCTACCATCTTGTTGCTATGTTGGTGCTTCTATTTTGATTCATCATTTGTCAGGATTCAGAAAGATGATGCATTAAAGTTTCGAGTAAATAAAGCCAGTGAAGTCGGTGAAATTGAAAAGGTTTGATCTCTGCAAACTGATTTTTTCCTTTCTAAGCATATTAAGTCCTGATATGTGAGTACAAAAGGTATCTTTGTCAATCCATACTTATGGATGTAGATGCATGTGAAAAATATTATTTTTTTGGTGCCATTGCAAATATTTGGGTAAACATGGCAATTATCATTTAGTAATTATTTTATTTATTTTTTATTTTTGGTATATTGGAGAGATGTAGAAAATGATTTTCTAAAATGCTTTGCTTGTGCTTTGGGGACATATGCCCCTGATGCAGTTTTTCCAAGTATCAATAGAAAATAAAAAAAAGTAAAACTTTAGGGATCCACCGTGAACTATGAATCAAATGTGTTAGATATTATCTGTATCCATATCTATAACTTAGATGTAGATATGATTTAGTTGGGATTTTTGTATAGCAAAATACTAGATTTAATTTATTAGGATAGTTTTTCTACATCTATGTATACTTCTCTTTATTTTTTTCTTTGGAATGAAATAAAATATTTCCCCCCTATTTCTTTACATGGTATCAGAGCAAATTGGGATTTAGATAAATCTTCATATTTTCCAGCCACCGCCGCTACCGCTGCGAGTCCCAATAGCCGCTACTGCCTAAGTTCTATTCCAACCAAAACCCTATTCAGAGCAAATTGGGATTTAGATAAATCTTCATATTTTCCAGCCACCGCCGCTGCCGCTGCGAGTCCCAATAGCCGCTACTGCCTAAGCTCTATTCCAACCGAAACCCTATTCTTTTTTCTCATGTACCAATTTAAATTATCTTTTCACTCAACCAACATCATAATCCAACCCCTAACACTCCGACACCTCCAATATGGTGACAGAATTGCTGTCCGCCGCCACACATGCCTCCACGCGCCACCGCCGGAAGACGACGCCTGTTCCGTTTCGGTCGATTTTCAACCTTTTTATGGCGCCCGTTACTGACACACCCCATACCAGCGTGTCCTCTCTTCACTACGTGTTGGATGGCATAGCTGTCCATCGCTGCCGCCAACATGTATCACACACACTGCCGCTGCCGCCACCGCCACCAAATTTTTTGTTGGGGGTCTTTTTTTTCCCCTTTTGCTGCTTATGGCCTACTATTTTAAGTGAATTGGTACTAGATGTCTCCGTTTGAGGTGTACTTATAGTCATAAAAATGGTCATACTAAAGGATGTTTGCTATAGCCTTCATGGACGCTCTTCTTGTATGACAAATGTTGCTTCTAATTTGAATGAAATGTTCATCCTCTGACTCCATTACTATAAGTCAACTGATTTTGATACGTTCCTTTAGTTTCAAGCATTTAAGCAATCATCCTCTCCACTAGTTTTGACCTCTCCTAATACCTAGACCTCCTGTGTCGGTACTTTTTAATCTACATTAGGCTCATGGTTTATAGATTCCGGTGCAACCGATCATATGTCCAAGTAATTCTTATTTGTTTTCTACTTTTCATCCGTCAAATTCACTAACACATGTTACTCTGGCTAATGGTGATGAAGCATATCTTTAAGATACTGGTAGGGTTTGTTTGTGACCTAATTTACCTCTTGATTATGTCCTTTATGTACCACAAAGCCATTTAACCTCATATCTTTTAGTCGATTTACTAAAGATTTAGGTTGTTTATTTTACTGATTATTAGTTCCTTTGTTATTCAGGACCACAACATAGGATAGATGATTGGTACCGGACAGACTCATGGCTATATTACCTAAATAAGTCTCTTTGTCTATTTTCTACTTTTGCAACTGCTTTTGTTGAGTCTCCTGAACTATTTCATCAACGACTAGGTCATCCCAATTTGTCAAAATTAAAATGTATTTTTCTTAACTTTTCATTACTGTCTTTGTTACCATCTAAGTCATGCGAGCTTCGAAAACCGTCTCGTAATACTTTCCCAAAACACATCAATAATAGAGCATTTGAACGTTTTGCATTAATAGACTTAGATATTTGTGGTCCTTGTCGTTCTATGCAAGTCCAGGTTTTCAATATTTGTTGCTTTTATTAATGATTTCAATCGGTGTACTTGGGTTTATTTAATGAAAAATAAGTTTTACTTGCTATATTAAAAAGGTTCTGTACTGGAATTCGTACCCAATATCACACCCTTATTAAGGTCTTGAGAGTGATAATGCTATATTAAAAAAGTTTGACTTGCTATATTTCTTATGGGATTATTCATGTTGTTTTGCGCTTCCACCCTAAAAAAAAAATAGGGTAGTTGAGTGCAAGAATCGTCATTCAATAGAAACAGCTTGTACCCTTCTTTTACATTATAATGTCCTATTTCAATTTTGGACTGATGTTAACCTTACAACATGCTTTCTTATTAATCATCTTCCAGTACTGCTCTAGGTCATAAGATCCCTATTACACACCTCTCGCCTAATGTGTCCTTATATCTTTTACATCTCCGTGTATTTGGTTGTACGTGCTTTGATCATGACCATTCTCCTGGTTGGGAGAAATTATGTCCTCAATCAATCAAATGTGTTTTTCGTTGGTATTCTCAAGTTAAAAAAAAGATATAAATGTTATTCTCCTTTCACTCGTCGATATTACTTTTGAGCAGATGTCATATTCTGTCACAATATTACAAAGTGTCATCATCTCCATCCTTAATACCAGTGACTCTTATTCCAGTGGCCTCTATCCCCAAGCCTCCATTTAAGTCTATAGTCGGCATACATAGCAACTTCAATACATACCTACTTCACCATCACCTGCACCTATTGATGACTCATCTCTGGTTCGGTCGCCTTCCTCGATTGCAACTCCACTGTCACCTGTCATCCCACGTTGATGTATTTGGTCCACTCGTAATCCTAACCTTATATATATATATATATTTTTTTAATTATCAACATTTACCTCATTCCATGTGTAGTGTTGTAATTGCTATAGACTTTGTATCTTTTTCTCGCTTTGGCGTGGGGCTTTAGGTCATTCAGGGTGGTGTTAGGCTTGGGTGGAGGTAATGTCTACTGTGCATGTAACAATACTTGGGAGTTGGTTCCGTTGCCACCAAGAAAGACATCCGTAGCTTTCCGATGAGTTTATGCAGTAAAGGTTGGCCCTGATGGTCGTATTGATTGACTCAAAGCTCGACTTGTTGCAAACGTCTTTACTCAAGTGTATAGAGAGAAATATACAAAAATCTTCCCTTTCATTGCCAAAATGTTTTCTATTGATCTTTTTTTCTATAGCTCCTTCATTAGTTTGACATTAAGAATACCTTCTTTCCATGGTGAGCTTCAAGAAGAGGTGTGTATGGAGCAACCGCTTGGTTTTGTTGTTCAGAGGGGGTCTAGTCTTGTATATCGTTTTTGTTGCTCACTCCATGGCTTGAAATAGTCTCCACATGCATGGTTTGGACGTTTCAGTCTTGTTATTCAAGAATTTGGTATGACAGTTTTTTCTGATCATACCGTATTCTTTAAACATACTTTAGAGGGACAATGTGTTTACTTAATTGTCTATGTTGATGATATTGTCATCATTTGATATGATATAGATGGTGGTATAAAGTTAAGGAGCATCTACGCAACCATATTCAAATCAAAGACTTAGGACCACTATTGGACTTCTTAGGATTTGAGATTGGCTCAATCAAAGAATAGTGTTATTCTATCTTGTCATGGCTTTGCCTAGGCGACACCTTGGCGTCCTGGCGGTGATAGTGTACTGCCAGGGCAGTTCGCCTCGCTGTTTGGCGAGGCCAACGTCTAGGCGTCGCTTCAGCGATGCCGGGGAGCCATGGCGACGCTAAACGACGAGTTTCGGTCATAGACCCGATTCGGTCTATGAACTGAACCGATTTTTGTTTTTTACTTGCAAAAGCGGTTTAGAAACCGCTGTTTTTTTCTTCCTCGCTCCTGCGCTAGAGAATTAATAAAGTAAAATATTTTATTATTACTGTAGATTTATTTAAAAATATTTATAAAAAGATTACGCAGTAATTTATTAAATTATTTTATTAAAATAAAATATTTTATTATAATTTTAATAGTGATATATTGGTATTTGGTATTTTATTAGTAATTTAAGGTTATAATTTTGTATTGTATTAGAACTTTATTTGATATTCTATTTGAAACTAGTAATTTAATGTTATAATTTTTTTATTATATAATAAATATTAGAAATTTATAGCGGGCGCTGTGTCGCATAGGCGATATGGCGGTCCGGAGAAACCTCGCCGTGACAACCTTGTATTTTACTTTTTGATGACTATATTATAGATGTAAATATAAAATGTGTATTTGGAGAAAGCTGAGTACTTCTTTAATTATTGAAATGGCTAGTCCTTGGGAGAGATACATAGAACTGGCTTGAAAATAAGAAGATTTGGGTGTGTTGAATTCTACTAAATGATCAATTTAGGATTTGGGCTATCTTACTACTCTAGTTTTTACTGTTCTCTGATTAACATAGTGGAACAAACAGAATGTCCCTTCTTGACTGGCCATAATATGAATAGAAGTTTAGTCTTGTGTTTTCATGTTCAAGGTTCTATCTTGAAGGGAACAAGTTTTTGGTGCTAGAAAGTGGGCCATTTCATTGTGCTGATAGTTGTCAGTATATTTTGGCTAACTACTTGATATTTAGGAAGTGTTTAAACAGTATAATATCTTTTTCAGGAGCTAGCAGCTGAGATTGCTGATCTTGAAAGACAGAGGGATGAGCTTGAAGTTCAACTGAAAAAGGTGATTGCATCTAAAATTAAAAATTCATGGGACAATGATAAACAAGATTTCTTTTGTCCTAATAATTTGGTTTACTTAATGCTGTATTTAAATACCTTTCTTTTCCTTTGTACTTTTTTCTGTTATTAATGATGATTGCAAGTAATATGCTGTTCTTCTTCTTAAGTTGAAGGTTTTCATCCTAAATTTCCAGATTTCCCACGACTTTTATAGAAACCAATAGATCCATTCCTTAAGACCTGCATTTCTATGTTATCTTTGATATGGAATCTTTTTTCTCCTCCGAGCAACCGTCATTTTTCAGCTGTTTTCATTTAAGCTTCCAAGAAGTTATGATGATTACCTATAATCCAAATTCAATATTGATCTACACACTGTGTTTTTAATGTGTGTTTGTGTATGTTTCACGTGACTATTTTCTAGAAACCAATGAATCTGCTACCTATGACATGCTATTCTGTTTTATTTCTGAGTTTGGATAGTCAATTTTATTTCGAAGGTATGCTGTTTGTGATTAATTGTGGAGATTGTTTTCATGAAGGTGAATACTGCTTTATCCGGTGCCAAAGCTCGTCTTCATAACATAACTGAAGAGAGGGATCAATTCTTTGAGGCTAATGATGAAGTTGTTACCCATCTGAAAGCTAAGGTGTGTGAGCCATTTATGCACCTGAAAATATGGATTTCCAGCTAGATTATCTGCAATTTTTATATTGCTTTATCATTCTTATTGATATCAAATTTCACATGCTTTACCACTCTACAGGAGGATGAGCTAGCAAGATCCATTTCTTCATGTCGAGCAGAAGCAGATGTTCTTAGTACTTGGATCAATTTTTTGGAAGATACTTGGACTCTACAGTGTCAGCATGTGGAGTCTAAGGAGAAGGAAGCCAAGTATGTTAATTACCTTAAATGTGTACCTACTTTGGTGGAGAGATAACTATTCTAGATATTTTCATTTGAACTTACTACTCGTTAAACTATTTTTCCATCTTCATTTAAAAGTGCTGAACTGGAGAGACATGAAGATTACTTCACAAACTTGGTTACTCAACTGCTTTCTACATACGAGGTACGTTTAGTTTCCTCAATGCGCAACCCTCTACATCTACTTTTGGTTCTTAATTAAATTTGCTAATAATATTCTCGTTCTCTGTGCTGTTGTTTCTCGCAGAAAGAGTTAAAACCAAATATTGATCGCATAGAAAAGTATGTGGAGAACTTGAAAGGTTTAAGTGAAGGGTATTGCCATGTGTTGTATTTATAGAAAATTGTAGTTATCCTTCCTTTGGTATTGCATGATTAATTCAAAATTCTCTACAGGTCATCACTTACTTCCACAGTGGAGAGTGATGATTCTCAATTGTTGAATCCAAGGAGTAATCTTGAGGAGGAATACCTGGATTACGAAGCTAAGGTAAACTAACTTTTTTATATAATAGTAGTATCATTCAGGATGCAAATTTTAAGTTTTTCACCAAGGGCAGTATACTATATGTTTCATAATACAATAATTTACAGAATGACAAACATAATATGATCACTTTGCATTGAAGTTAAACATCAATGGCGGCATACTATATGCTTACTAGAAACTATCGTGTTTTTCCCTACTTGTTTTCTGACATATTATTGTCTTAGATAATAACAACCTTCAGTGTGGTGGACAACATGAGAGAGCAGTTCTATGCACAAGATGGGAAACTCTCCAGGTTGGACTGTTCAAAATTATTCGGTGTTTCCCATTTAGTTTTTTGTGGCAGGCAGGCTCTCATTTCTAATGTGGAAGAAATATTGATTGCTCATGTTGCTGCATACTTTCATTCAGTAAAGAGAATGCGGAGGTGAAAGAGCTGTTTGACAGCATTGAAAAACTAAGGGCTGAATTTGAACGCATCGAAAGGCCAACTCTAGAAATGGAAAATCCCAGTAAAGAGAGAGACATGGCTTCTGAAGAAACATCACAGGGAAGTGCTACAGATTCTTTGTCAGCACAACAAGGGAAAGAAGAGCCCAAAAAATCTAGAGAAGATGGTGAGCCTCAGATTCTGGACCATGAATCAGAGCTGGCAAAACTGGAGTCTGAATTCGGAAAGGTAAATCAGGAGTATGCAACGGAAGAAGAGATTGGGGAATGGGAATTTGATGAGCTTGAGAGGGAGTTGAGATCATCTGGTGGAGACGTAGTAAAGTAGCTGTGCCGAGGTGAACTGAGAAGGAGGAGAATGGGCTGGCTGGCTGGCTGTGTGTTGTAATATTTATTTATTATTAGTGTGAATGTTGTAATCCAGATGAATGAATGCTAACTCGATCTCTTTTATTTTAGTTCGACTGCTTGATTATAAATGACGACAGTGGATGGATAGCTGCTTGAGTTTGTTTGTTTGTTTGTTTGTAATTGCAATGTTAGAAGACCATTCCCAATTGTGTTGTGTTTGTGTACGGACGGAAATTAGCCGAGTCTTGGAATACATACATACATTACCATTGTGGTCCAAACTTACTTCAGTTGATATGCAATTGGCTGATTGTATGTGTTTGTTTATTTTGAGCTAGCTGGATACAAAAATAGAATGTGTAAAGAGCAAACGCAATAGCCTTGTGACAAAAAGCCTCTATTAGAGGACATGTCCAAGTCCTTTTAATAGCACAACAGTTCTCATAGACATAATTCTGTACAAGTAACTAAAACACACAGTTGTGCATCTCTTTTTCGTCCCCCAGAAATTCACCGGCAACCGCAGTTCTCTTTCTCCCTCCCCACACTTTCCCTTCCGCCGATGTTTGCAAGAAGATATGTAGAGGAATGAGCTTGGGTAGCGCCTCGATTGCATCTATTTCTTGATCTCTATATATTATTCATTGTGCGTGTTTTTATTTGGCTTTAGTCGGAAAAGCCTCCAAATGAGAATGAAAGCCCACTAAAATTGCATTACTGTATATGCTCTAATTCAATTCAATTCAATTGATACCTATAGATAAGTAATATAATATATGAATTCTGAAACGAACTATAAATCAAAATAAAAAAAGGGCAAAGCCATCGCTAATAATAATAACATAGTAAAATCTTTATAAATTAATCCTCTATAAATTAATAAATTCTTTAAAATAATAAAATCTGTCCCGACTTGGGCTTTTGTAAAAAAATCATCAAATTCGATAAGATAATAAAATATTAATTTTTCATAAAATCCCTTTATATAAGGTCTTATTAAAACTCTAAATTAATAATTCATAAATATTACAATTATAAATATTAAGGTAATTTTCTAAAATATAAATTTATGGTTACTTGATATTTCTGAAAATTTAAATCGGATTTCATCCATAACTTTTTTAATTGCCGCCGAGAATTCCGATGTTGAGTTCTCTAACTTCAACAAAAAATTGTGAAAATTTGTTATGGCGCTTAAAGTCTCCTTTCTTGTGACTGGTGCCAAATGTATTAAATCATATTCAGCTTCAGTATTACTAGGATCTTCAATAATATCAACAACAATTTCCTCTAAACTTTGAATCGTTGAATATTCATCATTTTCACCCGGATAGTCCACCAATTTCTTGATGTCCATTTCATTACGATAACCAACATTCTTGACCATATTCTCAAGTTCACGTAGATTTTCTTCAAAGTTTGTTTAACTTGAATCGTTTGAGATTTTTTCATTAAACGGATTTTGTAATATCGAAATCAATTTGCTATTGATAATTGAGAAACATTGGTTGTCCAAGCGAAGACTGCAAAATTGGTGGCATTTAAAACATTAACATTTTCAGGATTAGGTAACCGAAACCTGTGACCTTTCGGTAGATATTTGTAAAACCTCCTATGATAGTGTACCTTGAAAACTCTAATTATTTCTGCATCACATAGTCGAATATTTTTCATCAACCCACTATTTGTAAATCGTTTTTAGTGCATGTGGGATGATCTCTCTTATACTCAATAATGCTTTACGTATTTGATCATTCGTAGAAGATTTTGTGATGTCTTTTAGATGAGAAGACATGGTTGGGTGTTATGAATTATTATAGGTGTGTTTCTTTATTGGATTTGGAGAAATTTAAGTTTGAGTTTGGTTTTTATTTAAATTTTGGGATCTGTTTGAATTTTTATGTTTCTTTTGGGTTTAGGTTGGTTGGGGTTTGAGGAGTTTTGATCTGTATTGATTTGATAGATAGTGAATAAAATAATATAAATGTGTATTAAATTTAATTGATAAATTTTATATTGTATGATTTGATTATGAATTTATATAATACCCAACATATATATTTAAATTTTTATTTATTTATATTATAGAAAATTTTATTATCTACAAAATAACATATATATTGTATATATTTTTTTACTCTATAATTATATTAAATATTAAATTATATTTTAATTTTTTTTTAAAAAAAAAGTAAAAGCTGCAGGTCATATATGCCTGCCGGACAGTGGACAACCGAAATTTTGGGGTTGAAGAAACACACCCTATATTTCTATACGAAGATTTATATAGTATATGTTTCATTCATCATGCATGAATAGTATTTCTAAATGTGTGTGTATATATTTATATGATCCAAATCACTTGGATCATAAAAATCATCAATGGCTATTTTTGTGTAAAAAGATTTACTTGAAAATGCATATTGTAGTGAACATAGATCATTTTGTGCAATTTCTCAATAATTAATCTATTTCAAAATTTTATATGGATCAAAGACTATGTACTCCAATTGTGCTTTAAGCGAGATATGTGTAAGTTTGACTCAAAACTTTGGAAAAATTGCACAAAATTCGTTTGTGGTTTCACGAAATTGTGTCAAATTCTCGTACTTTTAAAATTGCATAAAAAATTTTCATGGTTTCATAAACTTTACGTCTAACCCCCTCGGTCGTCCTTATTTAACAATATTTGCCCTACACGCGTCCAAACTGCGAATAAGTTTCAAAATTTTCATTTATAAAAATTCTTAAAATTACATATATACTCATTAATATTAGATTTAACCTCAAAGAAGAGTAAATATAGTCATAAATAGTTAATTTTTTATTTTTTTTGTTTTAAGTGTTTTTTTTTTTTTTGTTTTTTTGGCTAAATCTAAAATGAACGAATATATTTGTAATTTTAGGGGTTTAGAAATGGAGATTTATGTAATTTTTTCACAGTTTAAGAATGTGTAGGTCATATATTGTTAAATAAGAGCGGCTGAGGGAGTTTGACGCAAAATTTGTGAAACAATGCGAGGGTTTGACGCAGTTTTGAAATTATAAAAAATTTGGTGCAATTTTGTGAACCACATATTGGTTTTTTTGCAATTTAACCCAAAACGTTTAATAAAATTCTTATTAAATTAGGGTTTTTATCACCATACATATTCCACCAATTAATTATACAAATAAATGAAGAATTATTAATGATGCAACGTGTATAACAAGTATGCTACACAAATATAATAAAAAAATAAAATAAAAATGATATTTTATAATATATACCCGATAAAAATATAATAGCAACTCTAATAGCAAGTTAACTTTCAAATTTGTTTAAGTTTGTCAACAAACGTATTTATCTATAGACTATTTGTTAAATTATTAGAAAGTAATATAGCTATGCACATACATATTTATATTGGAAGTTCAACGAATGTACAATATGATTTATAAATTTGATATGTTTATCTCATTCATAACATTTACTTGTGTATCTAAATCTAGTCCGAATATTTTAATAATTTCTTTTACTCCATTTGAACCTCCGATGCATTAAATTTACAAATGTAAGAGTATTGAATACTAGAGATTAAGAACTAAGCTACATCAAATATATCGAAATTTAGAAAATGAAATAAATCATTAATACTTATGTACAAATACTTACAAAAATAATTACTTGTTGCATGTAAATGTTGATATAATTGGTTATATCATATTTTATCGATGACATCATAATATTATTGAGAATCTTTTACTACAACTTTAATTATAATCCCAGAAAGTTGGCCTATTTGTTTTCCATTTTGTTTTTTTTTTTGATAGAATCATGTTTGATATATCTCCACTTTCGTATTTCTTTTCTTGATGTATTATTATATTCAATTCATTCTTTGAAAGTACATGTTATTTTTAACTCAATTGCATATCTAAGACGAGTCTCCATTTTAACAAACTCGATTGTGAATTGTGTTATCTCTTATTACAACAAATCCATGTCATTCGTATACGTTCTCATTAAATTGACTACTTTATTATTGTTGTATAATTCTTCTAGCTACTTTGGTTGTATCATTTACAGACATATAATTCTAATGTCTTATAACATTAAATTAACATTGTAATGTATGGAGGCCAAAAGATGTGCTTCCTTATTTTCATTATTTTTTTTAGCAACATTCATACTAGATTCGTTATCAATTACAATTTATAAAATATTATCAACTCGTAGTAAGTCCACAAAATTATCCATTATGATGTAAACAAAGTCTGCAGTCTTATCTTATTTGTACAATTAATTAAATTATAATATATTATATTTGTATCACAATACATCATCAAATTTATGATGAGATGCTTTGTACATGTACTCTAACTATTACATATAATTGTAAAACCAAATACTTTTCACTTCAACTTTAAAGAATCAACCAACCATACAACATCTTTCCTCTTCTCATTCAAATATTTGCCCTAATTTGCTTACTAGTGGGTTCTTTAACTCCAACTCCAAATGATGCAATCGCGTCAATTATTATTTTATAGTAAAGATCACTATCTATAGCATGAGATATTATATCATTAAAATGAAACCAATTAAAATTGTTTTACCCACTTTTTTGCATTATCTTTTGAAACTATGAATTTATTCGCTTAACATTTTTTGCTAAAACGATTTTTCATGAATATTATTTTAAAAAAAAAATGTAATTGACACACACACATTAACACAATATTATATATATATATTATCTACTCACAAAAATTTACAATTTAACTCAATATTATTTTTTATATTATAAATGCAATTCATCATACCTAACTAAAAAAAATACACTCACTAAAAAATATAGAGTGAACAAACCTTATAATTTTAAAGGTACTTATTTTCAACAAAAATGTATATAGACAAAGCTTTTTTATGCAAACTTTTGTGTTTTTTAATATAACTTTCAAAAAATTTCTTTTACCTTCGTATATTTGAACTGTTACTTTCTACAAAAATAAGTAATGTGATGTTACATATTCATTTGTCATATAAATTTATTTTTATTTCATTTTTTAGTAAAAAAAAAAAATTATTTTTTCTACTTTTTCTTTACTCTAGACAATAAAATTTTTTTATTTTCACCTATTTTTCTTAAAACTCATTTCCGATCAAATGAACACACAATTGAATGACGAAATGCGTAATTATTATCTCAATTAAACAAATATGATAATAATTAAATAGATCTAAAATTTCAATAAACATACTGACTTTAAAATTTAAGCTTAATATATCTCTAGGTACAGAATGTCTTCATTGTTACTTCATAAGTTTCATATATATACTTTTTGTTAACGTTGGTTTTAATTGTTTTATTTCAAGAACATTAATGTCATTGTTTTATATAACACTTTTTATATTATGTTTTTGGTGTGTTGTTTAGTCTTAATAATTCTATTATATACTTGCACCTTAGTATTTTTCTATCGTTGGCAACAGAAGTAGCATAATCTTAACGAATAATTCTTCAATTGTCTTCCTATTCTTCTTCCCAACCTATGTGCACCGTTTCTTCTTCTTTTCTAATAATCACTCCAGTCTAAAAAGAGTGAAGAAAAAGATAAAAGACTTCTCAAATTTAGATCAGAGAGTACTAAACACATTTTACGTTTCCATCTTTTATTTGTTGGTATTTAATTATTTTTGTCATTGGTGTGTTCTTTAAAAAAAAAAAATACACACATTTCTTAAAAATATTAATATATCTCGTATATTCATTATATTTATATTTCCTGCAAAAATTTCTCATTCTTCACATAAAAAAAAGGTGGCGTGATTTTTTCGCAAAAGATTAAAAAAGCAAATATTTTGATATTTAGATTAATAATGTGAATTATACATTAGAGGTACAACACACATATATATATATATATATATATTTATTGGCATTCCTATTAACTCCAAATTCATCAATTTTATCAAATGGTCATATGAATCTTTAGCATACATAATACTTTCAAGGTGCTAGAGCTACCACATGAAGGTTGACAACTTAATGTGTATCTTGAGTTTCCTATAAAGTTACCTGCCACTCTTGCTAACACAAAACATAATTTACCCGGGATTATGGTACAAATTGAATAATTTAAATTCAAATGATCAACAAAGAAAAGATTCAAGGCATACATGAGAATGCACATTTTCATCAACCACACTTTGAGGTTGAGAGCAGAATAATAAAGATACTAAAAGAGAAGAACAAAAACTAGTCAAGCACAAGCACAAGCCAGCCAAGGCTACCAACAAACCTCTTGACATGATTCACATTAACCAAACACTAAAACACACCATAAATACATACCTCGGCACTCCTGGTGATTTAGTTAGGGAATAGAATTCTTGATTGCCACACAATTTCTTGATTTGGAAGCAATGCATACATCAAATGATGGGACAATCATGAGTCATTACATATTATTTTTTAAGAAAAGCAGAATTATGAAGTGATGGGACAATCAATCATCCACCCATGTTCAAAGAGCAATGAGGAACATTTCATTCATCTCGGATGCCTCATTGAGAAAAAACACAATCCACAAATACAGATTCAACTGAAAGTGTTCGCAAGATTTATTGCCTCATAATTCAGAGATATCATCCAGGTGATAAACTTACGTTAAATAAGAAAAACTGAAACAAAACCAAACCAAACCCTGCAAGTAAAATCGTAATCAGCAAGCAAATTAAGTTCCGACATTTTCACCTGCAGAATTCAGAGTGCCGTAGAATGGTCAGATTGAACAGAAATATTGATTCCCAATTGAAATAGGTGAAGACATTATCAAGAAACAAAAACAACTGCATGCCTAAATGAAAATAGTTGAGTAACAGTTCATGAAAAAATAGAAAGTGTAAAATTCTCTTTCAATTGCTCTCGTGGATATGAATAATCTTCAGTCATGAAAATACAAGGGCTTTATACAGTGCAAAGTACAATTAAATGTAGAGGAGGTTAATAACTCAGATTATTTTGATGCTCTTGAAACTTTCTGCTTCTTATTTAACTAGGATTTGAATCATTCTTGATTAATCTCATAAAGCACATAAAAATCTTAAAAATGAACAGCATAATTGAATAAATCTGATATCTCAACCATCGAAACAAATAATTGGAAATCTTAATATGTGGTTATAAATGAAGTAGGTAAGAAATAAATTCATAAATATAAAAGCGTCTTACTACACAATGACAAGTGATGTTACAGAATCGTGGTAAAATGCAGAATTAATAATCGATAAAACAATGATGAATACACACACAAAAGTATTTCATAGATTACTTCTGTTGAGATATTTTAGTAATTTAGTTTATAATTTAGATTAGATTTCTATTATCTAGATTATCTCGTTATTATTTGGTCATATGCATTATATTAGGTCGTCTACAAAATTTCTTCTCACAACTTCCATCCAAATAACTGCTAGACAATATATCATGTTCAATATAATGGTTTACTCAAAATATTCTTCATATCATAACAATCTACACAAAACCAATTACTTCCAAACACAATGTAATGAGAACCAAAGGCCAATTATCCTCGTAATTATCTCACATCAGTAAAACAACAGATGAAACCAAGCATATATATATATAATCAACCAACCATTTCAAATCACAGTAGCCAAAGGGAAAACACCAGAAACATGTAAATCTAAACACACAGTTCCACTTTCAGCAAAGGCCCCCTTCTAGGGTTCTTATATATATGCATTTGTATATATTGAAAGAAGATTTCAACACACTTAGTCAATCATTTTATAAAATGCTGTTGGTTCCTAGTAATGATTTCATATCGATAAAATAACCTGATGAAACCAAGCATAGATATAAACAACCAAAAATATTCAAATCAAAATCGATGCCGCACGGAAAACACGGATCAACCAACGTTTCAGAAAAAAAACGAAAAGAAAAACACTCACTTGTGCCGCTGCGCAAATTTGGAATTCTTCACATCCTCCTCTGCGAAGATAGAAACAAATAAACCAAGAGAAATAAAAAGAAAACATGGGATTCGCGACCAAATATAACAAATACTAACCAGTGAGTCCGAGGGAGAACTTGGTGATAATAGTTCCAGTAATAGCGAATCCGACAAGGAACGGCCAGTTGCGATTCCACTCGCGCTTGAAGAACACCGGCCATGGATCGAATTTCCTCATATCTCGAAATTGCAATCGGTATTTTCGCCTGCCCCTCTTCTCTCGTCTGCTCGCTGACGTAGAAAATGGAAATGAAAGGATGATGAAATGCTAATACCATTACATAACATGAAGCAAAAATGGGCTTAACCATGAAAGCCCACCTAATTTAGAATGGGTAGACTTGCCCAATGCAACCGGTTTCGAACTAGACCGGCCGTTCACCACTAACGAAACCGGTGGTTCAACCGAAGCCAAATCGGCTTTTTACCCGGTTCGATTTTGGTCGAATTTCCAATCTTATTGGGACCGGGAACCACTGAAAATTAGTTCGAATTAGAGCCGGCAATATCTAGGGTCGGGTCGGGTCGGGTTTCATCAAGTTTTAGAGGAGTCAAACTGTTCAAATCCAATCCGTTTTTCTTAAATTGGTCAAAAGATTCGATTCGAACACAACCCGCTCAAATCCATTTAACCAAAAATGACCCGTTAACCCATTTGCTAATTTTTTTTAAACAAGTTAGATGATTCAAACCTAACTCGATTAATACGAATTCGACCCATTTACCAATTTAAAATCTTTTACGACTAAAATTTCATAAGTTAAATTATAATAAAATAATCAATTTAAAATCTTTTACGACTAAAATTTCATAAGTCAAATTATAATCAAATAATCAATTTAAAAAAAAATTAAAAGCCACTAAATTAATAAAAAAAAATAGTAGTAGATACATACACAATAAATAGTAAGAACTACTTATTAAAAATAAGATATATAGATTGTGTTCAATCTAAATTAATAAAATTTTAAAATAATTATTAAAATAAAATTATTTTACATATATAATAAACATATTAATTAATATCAATATATTATAAACGGGTTATCATATTGGATTGAAGACCTCAACTCTAATCTGATTAATTTATTATCGGGTCGAATTCGTATAGACTCGTATTTATAATCGAATCGAAATTCTTGACTTAAACTCAAATATTTCTTGTCGAATTATTATATCGTGTCAATTTTTGTCACTTTTATTATTATTATTATTATTCTATATTTTATAAAAGTATGTCATTTTATCATTCTATTAAAAATACAATTCTTCTTTAGATATATGCTTATTAATTTTTATTTATTTACACAAATATTAGACTCTACATACTTTTTTATTATTTATTCTACTTTATTCTAAAATTTATGTTACTAACGGGTATATTCATTTAAGATTTCATTGGATTTTTTTGGATTTTAAAAGATTTATGAATTTACGTAGATTTAGAAAGTTTACATAGTCAATACAGAGTTGATTGATTTTATTAATTGATTTAGATAGATTCTTATAGATTTGATCGGATTTATTTATGAATTCATATCGATTTTGTAGAATTGTAAAATATTTTTTTTATTGATTTATATAATTATATAAACTTATGTAAATACAAATTTTACAAATATAATATATTTATTATATATTATTATATTTTATAAAATATAGGTAATATTAATAAATAATGTATAATTATTAATGATATAGAAATATTGTAACATATATAATACTACTATTTTGTATATTATATTTTTAATTTTATAATTTTTATTATATTATGATTCAATATATAAATTTATTTTTATATTTTTTTATTAGTTATTATTATTATTATGTATATAAATTTTGTAAAAAATAAAAATATAGATTAAAAAATTAATATATCAAACGCATTCACAATTTCTTATATCTTAAAAAATATTTCTTCAAAATATTTCACAAAACAATAACACTAAAAATAAAAAACTGCATTTACAATTTTGCATAAAAAATAAAATTAAAAAGTAAAATGTAAATAAATATAACTAAAGGTTCAACGAAGAAAATATATATATTTAGTTAACTTTACAGACAATACAATGTATTCGATAATTAAAAAAAAACAATAATACATATTTATTATGATAATAGTAATTTTCAAATATTATTGTTGATGCCGATTTTCAACAATAAAAAGTAAAACCCGAAAATAGAGATTATCTTCGAATTTGATAAAATAAAATGCTTGAGATTTAAAAATCTTTAGACACCGTACGATACATAAATAAAATAGGACAAATAAATACTACAGACTGTAAAAGTAAGATGGTGATTCCCAAAAGAAATTTCACTGAATTTGAAGATGGTTTCTTTAGGTCGTAAAAAGACCTATTTAAAAACCTACGTCAACCGCCACAACCAGGTCGTGCCTTCATATCCGCTCGCCGGTTGTAACTTCTCTCAACCGTCTTAGAACTGCTTTTCATCCGACTTGCACACCTGCTGCCACGTCTCCTCTTGCCCGCCTTCCACTTGTCTGACCTCCGTATCAATCGTCTCATCTTTCTTCGCCCGACCTTATCTTTTCCGACCTCCGTATCGGCCGTCTCATCCTTCTTCGCCCGACTTCATCTTGTCCGACCTCTGTATCGGCCATCTCATCCTTCTTTGTCCGACTTCATCTTGTCCGACCTTTGAATCCACCGCTCACTTAATTTACAATTTATCCTGATCCAAACTCATTTAAGACCCTACTATCATTATCAGGCCCATTGGACTATACATCAGTCCAATTTATAAGCCTACTCTCAAGAATCCGTATACATTGGTTTTTTCCGCTCAACAATTATATTTATAATATAATATTATATATTTTCAAAAAAGTTGATAATAACTTATTAATATAATTTATTTTTAAATTATTACTTTTTATTAAATATTTAAAATAATATTAATAAATATTATCATATTTTTTTATCACTTATATATTATCAACCACAACCAAAAGAATAATAATAAAAATAATAATAATAATTTTAAGAATCCATCAAAATCTCTCTTTATCATGAGAGATTTTTTAATGTACAAATTTTTTATAATTGTACATTAAAATCCAATGAAATTCATATACTTTAAAAGTCTGTGTGGATTGTTGAATACCTCAAAATTTTAAAATACTTTTAAAAGTATGCTTTGAATACCAGAAGATTTTAAAGGACTTTTAAAAATGTTGATTGAATACCTTCAAATTTTAAAGGAGTCTAGATTAAATACACTCAAATTTTAAAAATCCAACAAAACCATACAGAGTTGTGATTGAATACACCCCTTTAAATCTAAAATTTTAATTCTACCTTTATAAAAAGTATACAAATAATATTAAGATACTATAGTTTTTAATTCATATCCAAGAGTTTTGAGTTAATTTTATAATATGGATGTAGCATTTATTATATTTAATTTTTTTGTGAAAAACATATGAATCTGAGTGTTGTTTCTTCTTCGGTTTGAAAATCATCTTTTTCAATTCCTTTTCATTTTATGAAAGGAAAAACTCTTTGGCATAAGTGAAAGATTGAATTTGAAAAATTGAAGAAAAGCAACATAAAGGAAAAAGAAAAAGAATATAGGGAAATGAAAATGGAAGAATAAGAAAGATGAAGATGGGATTTGGGACAGCTTTTATGTTATGTTTGGAACAAAAGATAATATAATAAAAATAATAATAATGATAGAAAATAGAATTACACAGGAAATAAATTCTAACACAGGATGTGAATTAATCATTTTGTTTGATAGAATAAAGAATTCAATTAAGAAATATAACAAAAAAAAATGAGATGAACCTATTTTAGTAGATAAAAAAATATATATTACAAGATGATTGATAAATAAAAATGATTAATTAAGTAAGAAATAGTTTTGTTATACCAAATAAATTCGCAAGATTTTAAAGGAAGTAAGGTGGTGAAAATGGTAGTTAAAACTGCTTAAACAACAATTAAAGTGGTAAATTTGATCCAAAATAAATATTACATGACTCAAATACAAAAGGGAAATAGCCTAAGAATATCAAAGCCAAAAGGGATAACTTTGGCCTAACATGAGAAATAGTGAATTATGTGTTGGGATCACATCTTGTTTTTCCACATCTTGTTTTTCTTTCTTTTTTTTTTTTATCTAGTTTAATAATTAAATTTTTCAATTTTGTTTCACGAGCAAGTTGATCCTCCTTTTCTTTTTCTTTTTTTTAAAAAAAATTTGTTTTAGGATAGAATTTCCTTCGCTTAGTAGTAATTAGAACAATATCATACTTCTCCACCTCACATTTCAAATACTATTTTTATGTTCACACTCGATTTATTTAATTTAGATTCTTGATAAAGTTGTGGAAGAATATAGAAGAGTTAACTATTTAAGCTTATGATCGTTTTGCATTGTTAAGCTACTTAGTTGTAAGTTGAATTTAACTCTAATAAAAAAATAAAATATAAAAATCAGAGGGATAGAATTATTAGTGAAACAATTAAGAATAATTAATTAGATGTAGGTGCTTACCTATCGGGTTATAGAGATGTCCGGTGACAACGGCTTCTCTTTGAAATAATGTTTTTGGTGGTGGTGGATCTGAAATTCTGTTGTAATCCCTAAGGTCAAGTATCAATTGAATAAAGAGTCAAACTTAAGAGAACAAGTGTGATCACACTTATTCCTCTAAATCACCTCACAATAATACATGTTGGTCCCAAATTCGCTCCAAAGCAAACAACAATAATACCTCAACACCATCAACACCAAGAACACGCACAACAGCAACAGAGACAGCTTCCACGGCTAGACTGTAAATTCGTATTGGTTGTTTGCTGGATGATCAGTGATAGTTGGAAATCGCATACGTTATATTCATATCATATGCGATATTTGAGTGATTTTGATTGGATTCTACCTAATTTATATGCAAATTATTTATTTGCTGTGTGTAGAGGGCAAATATCAAATTTGGCATAATTGGCAGAAAAAGGTAAGAAAAATTCATATTTGCACAACCTAGTTTAGTCATGACCATGACTAACTATGCCCTCTTGATATGAGAAATTAATTAAAGGCCCAAAAGTCCATCTACAAAATAATTAGGGCAAAAATCAAATAAGAAGAAAAACACACGCCTATTGCCAAGGGGAGAACGGCGAGGGCAGAAACGCACAGGAACAGGAGACTGACAGATTCATAGACCGCGCAAGAGCAAATCGACAGAGAAGATTTCTCCCTCCCACTATGACTTTATCCTTCTCTTTTGTTCTTTGTTATTTGATTATGGAGTAGACATTTTTCTGGTTTAAGGGGTGATAATGTTTTGGTTCTTTTGTTTTGGAGATTCTTGATTTTCTTTATAAAAGCTCTTTTTGATTATCAATATTTGTCTAATTCTGATAATAGCGTTTGTGATTGTTAGATTGGTTGAATATTTTGATACCGATATTTAAATTAGTCTGATAATCTAAAGTCAATTCAGCTAGGATATCCATAATTGTATTCGCACTTGAATAGGTGATAACCGGGTTGAATAGTTCCTTCCGGGGGTTAGACAATCAAATCTAATTGCTCATCCTAGGTAGTAATTGTTTTGAATTGGGTTTTTATAGATTACAATACGGTTAGGCAATATTCTTATGGGCGCACCTAGGTTTATTTGCTTAATTAGGGGTAGTTAACGGTCGTACCTTAATTACCTACACTGTAAGGAAAAATTGGTTGTCAGAGCTTGTTGATAAATGTAACCAATTTATTGATACTTTAATAAGAATTAATTTTATTGAATTAATGATAAAACACAAGTGCCATAACTGCATCATCCTTTGAGCCAGACATCCCCTTGATAGTAAGTCCCTTTAATTTAATTGCTTTGTTATTTTATTTTAATTAGATAAAAAAGAAAATCCCACCTTTATTTACTGCATTAGAATACGAAAGAGTGAATCACACAATTCCTTTGGAGACGATCCATTCCCCTGTATTACATTAAATTGTGATCATGGATTAGGTGAAATATTTGATTGACTGCGCGACAGGTCAATTTTTGGCGCCGTTGCCGGGGATTGGCGCTTTGTTTTACTCTTTGTGTTATTTTAATTTATCCTCTTGTTTATGCCCCGTTCTTCTCGTACAGGTGAACTGATATTTAATCTTGAGATCGAGAAGGTTGAGCGAAAGCTACGAAAGGAAGCCAAGCAACGAAAAGCTGTTCAGGTTGCAAAGCTGGCAGAATCTTTAAACCACCTCAAAATCTCTAGCTCTAGCGACTCTGAAAGTGATCAAGAGACTGTCATGACTGAGGATACCCGCACTTTAAGGGAGTTGGCTGCTCCCAACTTGGCACAGCAGCCCTTATGCATTAACTTTCCAACACTCAATAACACTGTTGCTTTTGAACTGAAATCTGGCTTAATTCATTTATTGCCTTCTTTTCATGGACTTGCAGGTGAAGAACCTCACAAACACTTGCAAGAGTTCGACGTGGTGTGCTCCAGCATGAAACCACCAAGTGTTACTGATGAACAGATCAAACTCAGAGCCTTTCCATTCTCGCTCAAAGATGCTGCAAATGATTGACTCTACTATCTCCCACCTGGAAGCATCGACACGTGGAACGACATGAAAAAGAAATTTTTGGAGAAGTACTTTCCAGCTTCCAGAGCTGCGATCCTGAGGAATGAGATATGTGGCATCAAGCAACAATCAGGTGAAACGCTCCATGAATATTGGGAGCGATTCAATAAACTTATCATTAAATGTCCATAACATTAAATTCCCCATCAATTATTGATTCAATACTTTTATGATGGTTTGTCGTTGATGGATAGGAACATTATTGATGCTGCAAGTGGTGGAGCTTTAGTAAATAAGACGCCGGCACAAGCTTGGGATCTTATTGCGAGGATGGCTGAAAACACGCAGCAATTTGGTTCAAGAGATGTTGGACATATGAGCGGAAACAACAACGACCATGCCATCCAATCGATGCAGCAACAACTTTCTGAGTTGACGAGCTTTGTTCGCAAGATGGTCGTTGAAAAATCCAACCCGAGTGTCCAGGTCAAGGCGTGTGGAATATGCACGAGTGCAGGACACCCTACAGATGCATGTCCAACCCTCCAAGAAGAATGTGCAGTGGATGTGAATACTGCAAACTACTGTATGAATAGACCTCCAGCGTACAATCCATACTCCAACACCTACAATCCAGGCTGGAGAGATCATCCGAATTTGCGTTATGGAAACGCACAGTAGGGTAATGCTCATCAACCATTTAGAGCTATGCAGCATATGCGAGAACCTCGTTTCTATGAGAAATAGCCGCCCCAAGCACCCACAAGCAACTCCAGTCCATCTTTAGAAGACTTGGTGAAGTCTATGGCTACCAGTACCCTGCAATTCCAGCAAGAGATGAAGTCAACTGTCGACAAATTACAAGGTCAAATCAATCAAGTGTCAGAGGAGGTGAAACAGCTATGTGAAAGAGGAAAGTGGCCTGCTCAGCCTGAGCCAAATCCAGCAAATGTCAGCGCCATCACTATTTGCAGTGATACGATGATTGAATGTTCCTCCTGGCCTAATCCAAAGAATACGAGTGCTATAACCCTTCGTAGCGGAAATGAATTGGAAGGTCCACCTCCTATCTCGAAGGAACAGAATGAGGATCAGATTGAGATGGAGATCGAAAAAGAAGTTGAACTTCACGAAAAGGTACTTCCTAACTTTGTTCCTCCTACTGAAACTATATCAGCTCCTTTTCCTGACAGGTTGAATAAACCACAAAAGGCAAACAAACGAAAAGAGATGATGGAAATATTCAAGAAGGTGGAACTTAATATCTTGCTCCTGGAAGCTATCAACCAAATCCCCAAGTACGCAAAGTTTTTGAAAGAACTGTACACCAACAAAAGAAAATTGCGAGGGGACGAGCATATTATAGCGGGTGAGAACGTTTCTGCTGTTATCAAAAGAAATGTACCACCTAAAACAGGTGATCAAGGTATGTTTTCTATCCCTTGTAAGATTGGAAAAATTGAGATCACTAAGGCTATGCTAGATCTAGGAGCTGCTATTAATGTCATGCCTCGATCAATATACGACTCTTTAAATCTAGGGCCTCTAAAAGAAACAAGAATTATTATTCAACTTGCTGATCGCACCAATGCTTATCCTGATGGTATGATAGAAGATGTACTAGTTCAAGTGAATGAATTGATTTTTCCTGTTGATTTTTATATTCTGGATATGCACGATGCACATTGTTTTAATCCGCCGCCTCTTTTGTTAGGAAGACATTTTATGTGCACTGCAGGAACAAAGATAGATGTTAAAAAGGGCACACTCAACTTGGAGTTTGATGGAGAAGAATTTCATTTCAATATTTTTAATCCCGTCAAATGTCATGTTGAATCTGAATCATTATATGCAATTAATGTTATTAATTCTGTGGTGCAGAAAACTTGTGAAGTTGGTAATGAGAATAAACGAAGAACTGTATTGACAAAACAGTTAGAAAAAAGACCAACTGGAGAGAGTAAAAAAGAAAAAAAGATTGTCGAAAAGTGGAGATGGATTCCCAAGGGATCACCATTGCTGGCAGCAAAAAAATGTCATAAGGAGAATCAAAATTCTAAGCCGAAGAAAAAGTGTGTGGCCAATAGACATCGCTTCAAATTATACCACGAGGGACCCTCACTTGATCCTATAAAGTTGGCACCCGTTGCCGATTTCGATGTTCATAATTGATGCGAGGCGAAGTCTAGCTCAAAGACTATAAAGAAAAGAGCTTTTTGGGAGACAACCCAAACCGTATAAATGCTTTCTTTAATTCTAATTATTTTTTATTATTTAATTGCTAATAATACTTTTGATAATTTTGTTTGATTTTGTGCAGGTCTTTTGAAAAATAATTACTGGCTTTTTGCGAAGGCGCGGCGTAAAAAAAAAAAAAATTCAGATCAACAAGTGACTTTTAGTCATGGTCATGACTAATTGGTACCTCACATTCTGCTTTTTTTTCCAATATTTCTATACCTCTCAAATTTCCAGAATGATAAGTAGTATTTAGTTATGACCATGACTAATACTGCTCTATATAACACTGCCTCTTCCTTCCCTCTACCCACTTTTAACCCTAAATCCCCAAATAAAATAAATAAATAAATAAAAACCTTTTCACTCCCTCACTCTCTCTCTCTCCTCCCCCTCGCGCCGTCGCTTGCCTCCGCCTCCGTTCTTCTTCGTCCTCCTCACCGCGTCGCCTCCTCCGCCGATTCCCCCCCCACCCTCCGCCGCGACATTCCTCCGCCAGAAGTCGCCGCTGGTTCACCCTCCCTCCGCGTCGTTCTCTTCTGCCCAGACCTTCTCTTTCTCCTCCAGCAGCCCACCAGTCCAGACCAGGCGCCATCGCCTTCCTCCGTTGATTTAGACGTTGTCGATCATCTTCTTCCTTCGCGTCTTCTCCTTTTTCTTCTTCTTCTTCTTTGCTGATTTCCTTCCGCCGCTGAGACACCGCTTCGGCCAGAAGACGACCTCCAGTAACGCCGCCTGTGTCGAACCAGTCCTTCCGACGCCCAGCGCCCCCTGCGACTCCACGCCGCCGCATATTCCACACTTCCAGCCACCGCCGAACAGCCCTGGGCCGCCTTCAGCCAAGGCCGATCTTCATTCTTGGATTGGGTATTATCTATTCATCCCTACCAATACTTTCAATGTTTCAATAATATGTTGAGATATGGGATTGATGTTTTAGAATTGCCACTTTATGGACTCCTGTTACTAGGAAATTGCTGTGAACTTGGTGTCGCATAGTAATGTTCGTAATGTTACGCTTGATTTGTTTTGACGTAGTTCTATTCTTGGATATTCTGTCTTGGATTAGTTACAGTGGTGTTCTGAATTGCATTGCCTAACATTGTGACTGACTATTGGTTGTTGGTTGTTATATAGGACTGTTTTGAATACAATGATTTGGTTTGACATGTTTGAATTGAATATCGCACTCTCTTTGCATAATCTTGTTCTCGTTGTTATGGCTCATTTTTTGGTGCAATTGAGTTTAGTCACTTGAGTGAATTACTTTGTTTGGATACATTGTTGCGTTTGGCTAATCGTTTGCACGGATAAATTCCAAGCCTCATCTAAAGCTGGCGCACGACCAAATGAAGAGGCGTTGGCAGAGCTCCCAACTACTACACCCCCTATGGACTACAGGGAAGTCCCTCTCTTCTTTTATTGCTTTATTTATATTGAGGACAATGCATACTTTAGGTGTGGGGAGAGTTATGCAAAATTTGGGCAAAGTTTTCATTTTTTGTGCTACTTTTCATGCCTGATTTGCTGTCATTTTGCATGTTTTTTAGATTTGTCTGAAGTGAGTCAAAGGTGATTTGTGTGATAGGTTAGTTTGGCATGACTAATGACATTTGATTGGTGATATGTTCCAAAAGTTACATTAGAAAATAAATTGCATATATTCAAGCTTTTGGAAATTTCTTTCTCTATTAGATGACCTAGAACTTGAGTAATTATGCATGTTGAACTTGCAACTATCGGGTCTTGCGTTTTGAAAATGATAAGGGCATTAGGTAACCCATTAAGCCTTTCTTTATTACCCAGCACAATATATTCCCCTAGTTAGCCCATTTGAGCCTTTTTAGCCTATTTTTTTTATATAATAACCTGTCTTTTAGCCTCATACTCTTCTTTTGATTAAGCCCTCTCCGATTTGAACCCTATGTTAGAAAGAATTACTTTAAGTTCATGTTGTGATGCACTTTATTTCCTCAGCACTAGTGAGAAATGAAATTTGGGTACGAATAAGTCATAGTATGAAGGAATAATTATGGGTAGTAAAGTATATATATATATATAAAGATAAAAATCAAAAATCAAAAAAATCAAAAAAATAAAAAAAAAACAAGAAAAAAAAGAAAAGAAAAAAAATATATAAAAACAAAAAAAAAAGAAACAAAAAAAATAAATAAAAATAAATAAATAATTATCTTAATAAAGTATTTTCATTTAATTTCATTATTAAAGTTTGGGTAGTGAGTAGAGTAAGGATTTCATTGTTTGTGCCGATTTGTTTTTCATATGCTAGCATCGTGTTCTTATTGTATTCTTTTCTGACATATTTTAGCCATTTATATCATTTTTCCTACCCTGACCATAAGCCCCGTTACAACCCTTATTGAAAGTCCTTTTGATTCTTTATGCTAGATTCGAATATTTTAAGTAAGGGAGATTTGATTTTTACTCAAGCCTATAGAATAATCTTTTGTTGCACTACCTGAGTGTTGAGCCAATTATACACTTAATTTCTTCAGAGAGCATGTGTGAATACACTTTATCTTGTGAGGTTGACTTGGCTTGATGTGTTAAAATTCGGATTGAATTGGTTTTGTTGGATCCTCTTGTCATATCGAGTTGCCTGCGATTTCTTTGACTTATTTCGAATTTATGCTTGAGGACAAGCATGATCTAGGTATGGGGAGAATTGATAGTTGGAAATCGCATGCGTTTTATATTTATATCATATGCGATATTTGAGTGATTTTGATTGGATTCTACCTAATTTATATGCAAATTGTTTATTTGCTGTATGCAGAGGGTAAATATCAAATTTGGCATAATTGGCAGAAAAAGGGAAGAAAAATTCAGATTTGCACAACTTAGTTAGTCATGACCATGACTAACTACACCCTCTTGATATGAGAAATTAATTAAAGGCCCAAAAGCCCATCTACAAAATAATTAGGGCAAAAATCAAATAAGAAGAAAAACACACGCCTATTGCCAAGGGGAGAACGACGAGGGCAGAAACGCACAGGAACAGGAGACTGACAGATTCATAGACCGCGCATGAGCAAATCGACAGAGAAGATTTCTCCCTCCCACTATGACTTTATCCTTCTATTTTGTTCTTTGTTATTTGATTATGGAGTAGACATTTTTCTGGTTTGAGGGGTGATAATGTTTTGGTTCTTTTGTTTTGGAGATTCTTGATTTTCTTTATAAAAGTTCTTTTTTATTATCAATATTTGTCTAATTCTGAGAATAGCGTTTGTGATTGTTAGATTGATTGAATATTTTGATACCGATATTTAAATTAGTTTGATAATCTAAAGTCAATTCAGCTAGGATATCCGTAATTGTATTCGCACTTGAATAGGTGATAACCGGGTTGAATAGTTCCTTCCCGGGGGTTAGACAATCAAATCTAATTGCTCCTCCTAGGTAGTAATTGTTTTGAATTGGGTTTTTCTAGATTACAATGCGGTTAGGCAATATTCTTATGGGCGCACCTAGGTTTATTTGCTTAATTAGGGGTAGTTAACGGTCGTACCTTAATTACCTACACTGTAAGGAAAAATTGGTTGTCAGAGCTTGTTGATAACTATAACCAATTTATTGGTACTTTAATAAGAATTAATTTTATTGAATTAATGATAAAACACAAGTGTCATAACTGCATCATCCCTTGAGCCAGACATCCCCTTGATAGTAAGTTCCCTTTAGTTTAATTGTTTTGTTATTTTACTTTAATTAGATAATAAAAGAAAATCCCCCATTTATTTACTGCATTAGAATACGAAAGAGTGAATCACACAATTCCTGTGGAGACGATCCCTTCCCCTGTATTACATTAAATTGTGATAACTGATTAGGTGAAATATTTGATTGACTGCGCGACAGGTCAATCAGACTGCAAATGCACATACTGGTGATGACAAGAACAGAAAATACAAAATAATTGATAACCCAGATCGGTCATCAATGACCTACATCTGGGGGGTTTCAACCCAGACGAGTTTCATTATCAAAGCAGTCGAAGCATGAGGTTCCATGGATACAAATAGAGTTAGAACTCTCAAGAAATCTATCTCTCTGTTTCTTGAAGATACTCCACTCTTAATCTATACTCCTCATCACCATCAACTCAATGAACTAGTGTCTCTCACTTTCTACTCAAGAGCCTACAAACTATCTCGTTCTTCCTTAAAGAAATTACATTCATATTTTTCTATCTTTCCCAAATCTATCTTTCTTCACTTTATTCTATGATAAAGCTAAATATCCAAACATGAGAATATTCACTCTAACAAATTCAACAAGAATGAATTTTTTTCCTCAACTATCTTTTCATACCTCCATAAAGTTTGTTACAACTAAATTTTGTTATTCCCACACATGGATTAGAGGGACCAACGAGCTTTCTCGATCAATTCATTTGAGTTTTCATTGGATTGATCAATTTTAGGCCATTTTCTTGTTTGATTGGGCTCAAAACAAATTGAGCCGCGTCTGTCCATCATTGTTCGTCCATTGATCAGATCATCTGCAAATAACATCAACCAAAACAATATATATATATACAATTCACTTTCAACAAATACATATATTATTTGTTAACACATTATCGTCATCTCACACATTTAATCTAACCATTTCTCAGCCCCGAACACTTCGTTTCATTATTTCCATTATTTATATACTCACTAAAATCGCTATCATTTCTATTCAATGTTTTATCATATTTATATCATGTTATATATATACTCCCTCTAGTTCAAATCAAATAAATTATAGTTAGCGGAAGTGTGTAAGAGTTTTTGACATTTTTGCCTTTTTACTTTATGTATAAAGTAATTGAATGTAATGATGTATTTGTAATTTAAATAAAAATTTTAAGGGTATTTTGATATTATTGTATGATTATTTTCTTAAAAAAAATATGAAAAAGATACTTTGAATTGAGACATACGAAAATAGTAAAAATGATACTTTGAGTTAAGGTAAAAGGAGTATTTTATTACATTTTAGTTAGTTTAAATTATTTTTTAGTAGTTACTTTAGGATGGTTCGGGGGAATTTTGGTTTGAATTTGAATTTGATTTGAATTTTAGGCTGAGTTTGAGTTTTTGTGTTTCTTTTATGTGTAGGTTTGATTTGGGTTTGAAGAGTTTTGATGTGTAATGATTTAATATGTAATAAATATAATAATATAAATATATCTTAAATTTAAAAATTTAAAATTAATAATAATATTATTTGAATATGAATTTATATTATATCTACATAGATATTTTTATATTTTTATTTATTTATATTATAAATAATTTTATACTCTATAAAATGACATATATATTGTACATATTTTATTACATAATAATTATCAAATAATTGTTTTACATGAGTACCTGCGGCCGTGGAAGTAGTTTCATAAATCTCGATTTATATGAAAAACTTTTTATAAAAAAAAAAAAAGAAGTCAAAACCTGCAGCTGTGTAGCACGGCTAAGAAGGGTGCAGGGGCGATTTTGCGCCAAACTTACTGTTTCTTTTATGTGTAGGTTTGAAGAGTTTTGATGTGTAATGATTTAATATGTAATAAATATAATAATATAAATATTTCTTAAATTTAAAATTTTAAAATTAATAATAATATTATTTCAATATGAATTTATATTATATCAATATAGATATTTTTATATTTTTATTTACTTATATTATAAATAATTTTATTTTCTATAAAAAGACATATATATTTTACATATTTTATTACATAATAATTATCAAATAATTGTTTTACATGAGTATCTGCACCCGTGGAAGTAGTTTCATAAATCTCGATTTATTTGAAAAACTTTTTTTTTTTTAAGAAAAAAAAAAGTCAAAACTTGCAGCTGTGTAGTAAGTGTCGGATAAGAAGGGTGCAGGCGCGATTTCGCGCCAAACTTTCAGTTTCTTTTATGTGTAGGTTTGAAGAGTTTTGATGTGTAATGATTTAATAGGTAATAAATATAATAATATAAATATTTCTTAAATTTAAAATTTTAAAATTAATAATAATATTATTTCAATATGAATTTATATTATATCAATATAGATATTTTTATATATTTATTTATTTATATTATAAATAATTTTATTCTCTATAAAATGACATATATATTTTACATATTTATTATATAATAATCATCAAATAATTGTTTTACATGAGTACATGTGGAAGTAGTTTCATAAATCTAGATTTATATAAGAAAACTTTTTTTTTTTTTTTAAAAAAAAAAAGTCAAAATCAACAGTTGTATAGCAAATATCGGCTAAGAGGGTGCAGGGAAACCCCTAGCCAAATTGGCCGTGAAGAAACGTACCCTGAGTTTTTACCATATGCAATCAATTTTTTACAAACGTTCAATTATTATTTTTTTATTATTATTTTGTAATGATTATAATATTGTTACGTCATATTTTAATTAATTTCGAAATTTAATAATATGAAACTAAACCAATGTTGGTTGGCTTAAAGTACATACATCCTTATATCTATATTTATGTAACTAGTTTACTAGAATTACGTCAATTTTATGTTTAAAGGAGAGTTGGATGTTGAAATTCTATTTTAAGTCACTTTTAATACTTCCTCCGTCTCAATAGAATAGTCTTGTTTATTATTTTTGTTCGTCCTAAAACAATAGTCTTGTTTTTATAAATAACTATATAACTATAAAACTATCTCTACTTTTTCATTATTAGTACATAATTGTCACTACTTTTTACACTAATATACTCACAAGGGCAAAAAAAATCATTTATCCTTAATTTTTATCAATTATCAATATAATATTAATATTCCTTAAATCCCGTACCGAATACAATAAGACTATACTTTTAAAACGGAAGGAATATTGTCAGAGGGATGAATTTTGAATTGATCAAAACACAAGACAAGACAAGTGGCCTAGTCAAAAATGTTTTATTTCGTTTGCTTATTTGGATGAAATTATGATCGAGCACTGAATTTTTAATTCCAAATGTGTCACTTTCTTGAACCCCTTTAAGGCCGCTTCACTCTCATCTCATAGTGTGAATTGAATTGAATTGATTTGATTGCCACTCAAATTATTAATATTTGGAATTTGGACAAATACTTGACCACTCTAGTTTGAACTTCAAACTTTTTTCGATTTATTGACCACAGTCAACCCTTCTTCAAAAGTTAATTTGTGAATCATATTTTAGTTGTAAATTTCCTTTAGATCCATATAGAAATTAACTAAAAGAGTGTCTATCTAGTCCCGTAAAAGATGGTCTGGTGGTGCAGAGGTTGGACTTGTGAACACATGGTTCGTCTAGTGTGATTTTTTCGTCGGACCTGGTTTGCAGAGTATTAGGTTCGACCGAAGGTTTACCCAGTGTGCACTTTCGGGTAGCAGTTGCGGGTTTCCACATAAAAATATATATATAGTGTATCTATTACACGCACCTATATATATATATATTGTTTACTTGATAATGTAATTTTTACGATAATTCTTTTAAGCTTATTTTTAGAGGAAGAAATTAACCGGCGAAAACAAATTTACAAATAATTTTACTAATAATATTTCAAATTTCCAATAAAAATATTATCTCTATTGGGTTAAACCAATTACAAAAATTCCCTCTAAAATTACCATTATAAAAGTAGTGCACATTAAACTTCAATAAAAAATTGACACTATACTGTTAATTTTTTATTTTTTATTTTTTCAAAAACATATATATATATATATATTATATCACACCAATTCAAAATCCATTCATTTCTTTAATAAACAAATATATTTATATTGATTCAAAACTCCATCATTATTTATAAATCAATTTATATTAATCATAAATAAATATTTATATATTTTTATTTTTTTTGTATTATAATTTTTTTTTCTCTACTAAGTGATATATAGTGTATATTTATTAAAATAAATAAATACGTTATTATAATTTTTTAATTTTTTATATATTATATCATAAATAAATTATAATTAGTTAAATTACTTTCAATCCAACTTCAAACTAAAAATTCAACTTGCTACATCCGTTTTAAATAAAAAAAGAATAAAGTTTAACCTTATCCTAAGAAAAAATGAAGATTGTTCAATTCCTAAGGAATTTTTCCAAAAAAAAAAAAAAAAAAAAAAAAAAAAACAAGACGAGGCTATTATATTTTCGCCTACAAATGATCTAAGCATAATAATGATAAATTAATATTTAGACGTAGAAAATTTTCAATTAATTTTAAGGATAACAACGGGAGAATTCAAAACGGACTTTGTCAACCTCAAAACCCGTCATGTCAAAAAATCTTAGGTTCCAAAACTCGTTCCACTCCACCTTGTCCTCGCCCAAGAACTTGTGCCGGCGTTCATTTTATTTTATAATTTATTTTCTTTTTACGGGGTATTTAATATAATGCAATAAAACAATTCAAATATCAAATATTTAAATATTTAAAACTTTCAATCAAAATATTGATAATATTTTTTCAACCGTGTACCATGCAATTAAAAAAATTGTAAGTTGAAAGATAAATATATTGAAAAATATAAAAAATTGAAAAATAAAAACAATAAAAACTAGAAAATTATAAAATTATATAGTCAGGTACCATAAATAATTATAAAAGTATTTACTAATAATTTTTAAAATTATTTATTTAATCGAGTTCGGAGCGAATTTTTAAACAAATCTGTAACCTGCCCCGATTTAAATTCTTAAAATCCATAATACATCCCATTAGCACCGGAGTCAGGGCGTGACAAGGGCAAGACCAGTTCTGGCAATTGTCATCCCTAACTAGAGGTGCAACAGGGCGGGTTCGGAACGAGTTCTGTAGACCCCATAGCCCATCGGGTAAGAAATTTATAAGTCCCAGATTTCGCCCTGCCTCGGTTTAGTCCTGCCCTAAAAACCTGCCCCATTTTGAACCCTCCGATTCGGGTCAATAAAAAAAAAAATCATCTTTTTTTAAAAATATTTATATATTGATTTTATTTATTTATTTATAAATTATATACCAAAATATAATTTAAAACTAAGTCTTTTAAATTTTAAAAATTATAATAATAAAATCAGTAATATACTTTAAATTGGAGTGATATTGATATAACAATAAATAACAGTGAATTATACAATTCAAAAATAAAAATAATAAAGATTATAAAATTATAAGATTATAAATTTAGATAATATAAATAAATATATAAATATATAACATCAATTTTTATAATTATTAATTTAAGCAGATTCATATGGGATTTCGAGCTTTATCCCGCTAACTTACACACAACAAATTATATATAGGATTTGTTTCTTTTGATTCCAAAATTCATATTTCTACCATTTGGACTTTATATTTTTCGAAAAAAATAAATTTTTTTTTCTCTTACAAAATATCGCATTATAGTTAATATCAAATTGAAAACAAAATTTTTCCAAGGTCATAAAATAACAAAAAAAAAAAAAAAAAAAAAAGAAACATACACTTGCGTGTATAATATATTCCCTCCGTCCCACCACAATTGACACTATTTCCATTTTTGTTTGTTCCGTAACAATTGACACATTTCTATTTTTGGTAAAAATTATTAAACCAAAACATATTTAACAAATATAAATCGACTTAATTAACTACATAACATACAACATCATAAATGACGTAGGTCTCACTCAAAACTCTTTTATTTCTACATCTCTCATCAAAAAAATAAATATTTTTATCTATATTTAAAACTATACATCTTTTATAAAATTAATTTATGTCAATTATAAATAAACTAAAATATTTTTTTATTTACTTTATTATAGATTTTTATTCTCTACAAAATGATATCCATATTGCATATATTTTTTAATTGTTATATAATTTGTAAATATTTAAACATATATTTTAATTTTTTAATCATATATATTAAATTTATTTTAAAATTATAAATATTATTAATTATAAAAAAATAATAATATCATAACTAATTATTATTAACTAATTAAACATTCTCACTTTAAATACTGTATCCCATAGAACATACTCCCTCCGACCCAGATATCATGTCCACGTTGTCGTTTCTGTCCGTCCCACATATCATATCACTTTCTTTTTTTGGAAAATAATTACACACTTTAATCTCATTTTAAAATTTTTATTTATTTTTTTAAATTTAATTAAATTAATTAGTTATCTTAATCTTAATCTATAATTATTTATATTATAAGATAATTATTTTCACTAATACATTCTTAATTATCTATTAATTACACCCCTCCTATAAAATATCGTATTTACAATATCGCAGACACGGTATTTGGGACGGAGAGAGTATTATAAATACACACGTCACTATACAAGTGTGTGTAACATAATGGAATAGGCTCAAATCTCCGTACATATCATAGGGGACAAAGATGAAGGCTGGAAAGAAAAAGCAAATCATCTAATTGGTTGAATTCAATGCAATGCATGCCGCCATCACATATTTCGTGGTTTGACCCACGTGCGATCAAAATTACCCAAATATATATTATAATTATTATTATTATTATTATTATTATATACAACTACTAACTATATAAACGCACGCAGCTTTGGCTTTTGAATTTCCAACACATTCATTTCATATCTCACATAAATATATATATATCGATCCCTCAAATCTACAGACAGTTAAGTAGTAGTAATGGAATATTGTTCATGGAATGAAGAGAAGATGACATCATCACCACCGTCATCCCAGGAGCTGCCTTTCAACGAGGACGATCCACAAGAGATGTTTTTATATGGACTTATTAATAATAATAATAATGGCACCGCCATGGCAAAGTCGAACAATGACGAGGAAGAAGAAGAAGAAATTGAAGAAGATAATGAATCGGCAGCGATGAGGCAGTACCGAGGAGTGCGGCGGAGGCCATGGGGGAAGTACGCGGCGGAGATCCGGGACTCCACCAGGAACAGCGTGCGTGTGTGGCTCGGCACCTTCGACACCGCCGAGGACGCCGCCCTCGCCTACGACCAGGCCGCCCTCGCCATCCGCGGCCCCCACGCCATCCTTAACTTCCCCGCCCACCTTGTCTCGGCTTCCCTCAGAGATATTATACTGCAGGATACGGACACGGATATGGATATGGATACGGATACCGATCCTACCAGCACCTCCCCTGTGCTGGCACTCAAGAGACGTCACTCCATGATGCTGCACAGGACCAGGACTAAGAGGACCAGGACCAGGACCAAGAGCGAGTCCAGCTCCAGCTCCAGATCATCAATTACAATTAGACCCGCCAACACTAATAATAAGTCGACCCCCACCCCAACCCCACCCCAACAATCAATTATAAACCATCATCATCAGTTTGACCACAATATAGGCTATAGTAGTACTAATAATACTAGTAGTGACCAAGTGGTGGTGCTGGAGGACTTGGGGGCTGATTATTTGGACGAATTGCTGCGCCTCTCCTCACACTCCTGCTCCTACTCCTAGTCAATACAATAAAATACCTGCATCAGTACCCTATCCATATCTAATTAATTAATATCATTTCCTTATTTTATTTAATAAATAAATTCATTACTACTTCTCTAAGTTTGTTTCATTTTTGTTTGATTGTAATTTAAGAGTAATTTTAAATAAAATATTAATTAATTTTTTTATAAAATAATACTTAAATATGATGTTTTTGTTAAAAAAATAATATATTTTTATTGAAAATTTAATAAAATAAATAGTATTATTTGAATTTAAAATAGTAAAAAGAACACATTCAATTTTTTATTTGCTAGCTCTGCCTACCTAATAATATATATACATACATATGACGGATTCGGTGTTAATTGGTGCACTCATAAGTACCATGCTTATAAAATATAAACCGTCCATCATAATAGATAAAAATTGAATTGTTTAGATTGAAGATGGATAGAATTGTCATTTTAAGTTTAAAAACTTACTTGGTGGGTTTCTAATTTTCTCACCTTACTCTTTCAATCGTATAGGTAAATTCAATCAATTATTTGTTTTCTTGAACAGTTCACCGCTTTTTTAATAGCTTGTGTTAATCTCAATTTAATTAAACATAAATCCCTCTCTCTCACCACTCACTCTTTTCCTCGTCCCTTCATCTTTCTCTATCGCGATCTACCAAACCGTGCCGGCAACTGCCACTGCTTAGCTGCGACAGCGCCTTTCCCAACTCTAGCAGCCGCCACCATTTTATTCTTCTATATCTATGTCTTCCTTCTTCTGTTATTTTTCCTCCGCCCAGTCAACCACCACCTGCCCAGACCACTGCCAACAACCGCCGTTCTTCCGCAGACTCAGGACCCACCGCAAACCACTACTGTCGCCCAATCGACCTGCCGCAAACCCAAGTTTATTGAATTATCGTAATCTGGTATTTTTATGCTTTTTTTTTTCTGTTTGGATACTAGTTTAAATCAACGATGTATATCAATTATACTCGTGTTTTTTATTTGCAGGAAATTTGAATTCAATCGCAAGTCTGTTAATATCCATAAACAAATGGTGAACCAATGTTAAATGTTATTGATATTCAGTGTTTACGGCCTGGGTGGGTCTGACGTGTCAATCAATGTTATTGATTCATTTGGTATCTTCTTGAACCAATTAGAGTTCAAAAAAAGCAAGCAACAAGGTGTTTCAATGTCGAAATTTTGTGTTTCGTCTAACATGGCCGTAAGTATATAATTACATATGTTTAACATTTGAATTGAAGATGTTTATTGCTTATATGTTAAATGCCAACTAATGAAATATTGGATGCTTATTTTATAAATTAAATAATGATATATATTTTCTTATGCATGTAATACATGGTGCGTGTTGAGATTGAGAATAAGTTTTCCCAGAAAAGTGAGCAAGAATTGGTCAAGGAACAAGATCGAAAATTCAAGATAGAATATCTTGGAAATGACTGGATTGAGTACTTGAAGGCCGATAATGTCAGTCTGTTTATTTTGTATATATGGAATGTTGATTTTACGTATTTGAGATAATGGTTTGGTATATTAAGAAATGTTGAATTGGTTTTATGCATCTTGTTGCAGTACTTTTTCTCATTATCTCGCTCCAATCACTAGATTTTATTTTTTGTGTTCATTCTTCGTAAGAAGATTTACTATTTCAATACCTTAAATGTTGTTGATGGATGGAAATCAGACTCAATGGTTTTTGAGAAATGTTTTGGTTATTTTCGACGCGCTGCAAAGATGTTATTTCCAAATCCACGGTGGGATTCCCAATATGCGGTCGAGTTGCCACCCCATGTTATGCAACCTAATATCCACAATTTTTGAACTTTTTTTATATTTTACATGGAAAATTGGCTCATTGACTTGACTGAGAGAGTATGTGAGCAAACTGGCAAGCGTGGATTTCTAGATAGATTGTGGAAGAAATATTGTGTTTAAATGGAAGAGAATCAAAACATTGGGTATGTGAAAGATAGGTCAAGCTTGGTTCCGGTGCAATGATTGCGTGCGAAGAAAATGAAAACGTGGATGCTCCAACGAGAAAACCACGTATTAAGATAAGCGCAAGGAAACACGTTTGTGGGCGAGTGCAAGGGCGAGGTCGGGGGCGAACAAAAAATTGACTGCGATTTTGATGAATTAAATTTTGAAGAAATTTTGGTTTTGATCGATGGATTGAATTGGTTGATGGTTTTAACAAGTGGCTTGAAATAGTTATTGGATTTAACTGATGTATTTAATCGATTGTTTGGATCGAATGTAACATGAAATTTAGGTGTTGTTATTTTTTGTTTTGATAAGTTTTGGTGAATAGCACATCTAGAGTGTATTTTTGTAACAATTTGTACTTAACACTCATATTGCTGGTTAATACATGATATGCTTATTGATGTTCAACAAAATGTTTGATTTAATATATACAAATGCTTATTCATCCATTTTATATTTGTGTTAATAGGTTTTTGGTGGAAAACATTTTTTTGTGTGTTAATAGGTTTTTGAAATGATGTTTTGATTGTTTTTTTGTAGCATTTTCTAGATCATTATATTTGACAGTATAGTAACATGCTAAACACAGTAAATGAAGAAATTTATTGGTATTTAGTAAAATGTTTGATTCAGTATATGCAAATTCTTATTAATCCCTTTTATGTTTGTGTTAATAGATTTTTTGTGAAAAACATGTTTTGGTTGTCTTTTTTTTTTTATGACATTTTCTGGATCACAATATTTGATACTATAGTAACATGCTAAACACAATGAAGGAAGATATTTATTGGTATTTAATAAAATACTTGATTCAGTATATATAAATGTTTATTCATCATTTTTATGTTTGTGTTAATAGGTTTTTGGTGGAAAGTATTATTATTATTATTATTATTATTATTATTATTATTATTTTTGTGTTAATAGGTTTTCGACATGATGTTTTGATTGTCTTTTTTGGGGCATTTTTTGGATCACAATATTTGATAGTACAGTAAAATGGTAAACACAGTAAAGAAAGATGTTTATTGGTGTTCATTAAAATATTTGATTCAGTATATACAAATGTTTATTCATTCATTTTATGTTTGTGTTAATAGGTTTTTGGTGGAAAACATATATATATACATATATATGTATTTGTTTTGAATAGGTTTTTGAAAGGATGTTTTGATTGTCTTTTTTGTGGCATTTTCTGAATCACAATATTTGATAGTATAGTAACATGTTAAACACAGTAAAGGAATATGCTTATTGGTGTTTAGTAAAATGTTTGATTCAGTATACAAATGCTTATTATACTTATGCTCATAATATTTTGCAACTAAATCATAATGAACAGACAAAAAATCAATTTTCTTGCTTTTATCCCATTGTTTATCTCGTCTATTCATCATTTTATGCTTCTTTTGTCTCTCAAAGTTGCTTATTGAAACCTTTCTTTTGATTATTCCTTTTGGATTGTCCCTTGATTTCAGTATTAAATTGCTTGCAGTGGTTGTGTTATGTACTTCTCCTATAGCATGAACAATCGATTAATTTACTATTAAATACAATCCAATAAATATAAAATATATAAGAAACACAACTGCTATTTTTATTTATCGTCGTTTCTCCATACATATTTGGGCATGTAACTATGCAGTAAAACAATTCATTGAATTTAACTAAGAAGCTAAAACTACAATCTGATCAATATCTCTGTTGTTTCTTGAGGGATTGATTGAAGTTGGAATAATGGATAATGATTTTGCTCGTCTCCGTCGATTTCATCCATTAATTTTGTTGGATCATACCGAAATATTTTTCTACATAGTTGGCAAAAGAGAATGAAAAAGGTGAAAGACAATGTACAACAAAGGTCCAGTTAGTTATATAATTTAGAATAATTTGAAAATTACTAATAAACTCCTAGATTAATATACGTCTAAGGATTAAAAATTATAATCCAATTGTTTAGATTGAATCATTGTATTGGTGAACCCTATATTTCAGCTCCTAATCTGAGCCCATATATACCTAACACTTTCGTATTTTCATTTTTGTAAATTAATATTATAATTTGTTGTCAAATTTTATTTGCTTTTCACCTATCCTGCCTAAGAAAATTTTTGTTTACAATACCATCAAATTTATCATAGATTCTGAGTATCTTTCATTTCAAAAAAAAAAAAAAAAAAAAAACACAACATTATAAATATGAAGTTGGAATTAAAAGAGAAAACACTTGCAGACAAATTATACTCCTTTCCTCACCCAACTATATACTTATTTTTCCTTTTATCATAAAAAAAAAAAAAAAAAAAAAAAAAAAAAAAAAAAAAATTCTAATTTATTTTATACTTTTTAATTATAAAAAATAACTACTCCAATATTAATTATTTTAAAATTTGTACCCAAATATTTGAGCATAAATTTATACGGCGAGGAAGTAAACCTTTAAACTAGTTTAGTTGTTCATTGTAACTTTTATTTATTAACATTATATATTAAAAGTAAATAAATATAGAGTTTCTAGATGATTCTAAATATTTCAAATAATCGGTATATTTTTTTTATTGTTTTTATTATGTATATACACTTTATTATCCTTGTCAATATCAATGTTCCCCACATTTTAGTCAATATATATATATATAGTTAAAATGATAATTATGTGGGAGTAAAGCAATTGGTCAAATGGACCAAATAGTTTATCCTTTGACTTGTGGAATAATATCCACTTGGATTTCGATCATTTCCTAAATGCTTATGAAATAAAATTGATTAGAAGAAAGTGATTGGGGCATGTGGCTGTGCTTGGACATGCATTTCAAGTAAAAAATAATTACTATTTTTTTTAATTGAAATAAATTGTCTATAGAATATAATAGACATTCAATACAATATTATAAATAACATTTTTAATGTATTACTTAAATAAATAAAAAAAGTGCTTAATTTAATAATTTAAAATGAAAATTGATAAATACGGTAAATACATGCAAAAAATTGGATGTCTAAACATGAATGTTTACATTAAACAGAATTCTTAATAACCATTAGACTATAACAAGT